AGATGAATCCAAAGGCACCTACCACATGGTCGTTAAGCTACACTGTTTGTCCATGAAAAAAAGAGGGGTTTGGTTTTGTGGCCTTTAAGAATGTCTTCCTTCTGCATTACTCTGTGCAAATCCCAGCTATTGGAAAGAGAAAGGGATCCGCCATTCCCTTTGGGACGCTGTATAGTTCAGCTTCTCACTCTCCAAAGCTCAGGCTTAGAACAACAATTCACAACTTTATTTTTTTCTTCTTTATTAAGGATGTGAGCGACAAACTGAGCCTTCGGTTCCCCAAACTTTATGTTTTGGGTCAGAGAGATTTACTTTTCAACTACAAGAAGTTCTTTGTGAGTTTGCTCCATGGAGCTGTAACTTCACTGATCATCTTCTTCATCCCGTACGGAGCCTACCTTAAATCTATGGGACAAGACGGAGAAGCGCCTGCAGATTATCAGTCCTTTGCTGTCACAGCTGCATCCTCTCTGATATTTGTCGTCAATTTTCAGGCAAGTAAGCTTTGTTCCCTGAGCTCTAGTGTTCTGGGAACGCTTTCTGCTCACTGTTCAAATTTCTCTACTAGCAAGGTAACTACATGCAAAAAGTTGTTGACATTATTTGGAGTTAAGAAACTAATTTGGCACTTTTGTTTGCTTTTAGATTGGCCTGGATACATCTTACTGGACTTTTGTTAATGCTTTTTCAGTATTTGGGAGTATTGCACTTTACTTTGGGATCACATTTGACCTTCACAGTGCTGGAATCCATGTTCTCTTCCCTTCTGGCTTTCAGTTCACAGGTCAGTCCTCATGTTTTGTGGTTCTCAGTCCTGCCTCATGTAGCTTTGTCACAAATTAACTTTTGCTCCTTTTATTCCCAGGAACTGCTCCGAATGCTCTGCGGCAGCCATACCTTTGGCTTACCATGATTTTATCCATTGCTATTTGCTTATTGCCTGTAGTGGCACAGCGCTTCTTATCCATGACAATCTGGCCTTCAGAGAGCGATAAAGTGAGTGAAATCTGTTATGGCAGGTGTTTATTTACAGGGGCTGGTGTCAGTGCTAAGGTGTGGGCTAGTGGAAGGTGTCCCTGCCCATGGCAGGGGTTGGGATGAGATGGGCATTAAGGTCCCTTCCAACCCAAGCCATTCTGGGATTTTATGATAATGGTAGAGACAAGTAAGTGATGGTGCTCTTGGGAGAGGAACACAAGCCTGGCTTGGGTCCTGTGGGCAGAGGAGTGGCCGCAGGGCTGGCCAGAGGCAGCAGCTCAGTGGGGGCTATTTCCTCGTGTGCCTGGCTAAAATCTGGTGTTGTCACTGAGACCCCATGAGGCTGCTTAGGGCCCCAGTTTGGGTTTAATTTAGGCTGGGCTGGCGTGCCAGGTTTACGTGTCAAGAATAGGGAATAGCTTTGGCTACTTCTGCTCTGCCTTGAGCCGGCACACAGCGCACAGCTCTGAAAACAGATCAGCTGTGTTGATGATGTCCTAATGCACGACCATGTGTTTGCGTTTGCGTGCAGATCCAGAGGAACCGCAGGAAGTACCTGCTGGAGGAGCAGCACTGGAAGCGGCGGCAGAGCGCATTCCGCCGCGGTGTGTCCGCCCGCCGCTCCGCCTACGCCTTCTCCCACCAGCGCGGCTACGCCGACCTGATCTCCTCGGGGCGCAGCATCCGCAAGCGGCGCGCCCCGCTGGACGCCGTGCTGGCCGGCGGCGGCCCGGCCTCCGGGCACACGCGGGACACGAGCTGATGCACGGACTGCACAGAACTGTTCTGAACAAACTCAGGATCTTTTTAAACTGCCTGCCGTAAGGATGTGAAGGTTTTTATGTCTTACCACAGAAGTTTCTGGGTTTGGACTCCTGGGAGCACAGAAGGGCCAAGAGTTCCCAGTGGAGCTACTGGTCCTTGTGTCAGTGCTCTGTATGTCAGTGAAGGAGACATGTGCTGGGAATGGAAACCCAGCAGTGTCCGTTTTTAGTGATGCCTGGAATCATAGACTTTTCACTTTTTAATACTATGTTGGTATAAAACTATCTACATTTCATACTTGTCATTGAAAGGGATTTTGCTTGTGTGCTCTATTTCATTAACTGCTCAGACATGATGGTACATGGGATGCTGAGCCCTGGAGAGGGCTCTGGATGTTCCCATCAGAGCTGTCACAGCTGAGCTGGGATGTCATTGGTGATAAACTCCAGACAGTGTCAGACTGGTTTAGGAATCAGGACAGATCTTAGCTCTGGAAGCTGCCCCTGGAGCTGGCACAAGCTATTCATTTCAGTTCTGGACACAGTCAGTGATGGGTAACTAGAAATCAGTGACTTTCATGGGATGTGTTTCAGTTGCTGGTGCCTCAGTTCTTACAGTGTAAAAAGTGGTTTTATGAGTCTCTTTACATTTGCACATTCTTCACTCAAGTTGAGGTGTTTGAGTGTTTCGCTTTTATGTACTTCCCCGTCCCGAACTAAAACTAATTATTGAAATGGTTTTATAGTAAAAAATATGACCTGCAGCTCTCATTCAATGGAATGTACATTTCAACAGCGCGATGCAAATAAATACCCGAAAGCCGACTATGTTGCAGGGTCCGTGGGTAGGGCGGGCCGGCGCTGCGGGAGGAGCGGCCGCGTTCCCCGCCCGTGCCGCAGGGAAGGAGGCGGCGGAAGGGCAGGGCCGGCAGGGCGGCTGACGCAAGGCGGCCGCGGCTTGGCTCAGCCCGCCCGTGATGCACTTCCTGCGCCGCGGCCATGGCGGGGGACGTGCTGGGCAGGACGGCGGCGCTGACCCTCGGTGAGACCCCCGGCTCCGGCCCCGCACCCCTCATCCCGCACCCGATGTGCCGCGGGCCCGCCGGGCCGGGCCCTCCCCGGGCGCGGGAGGGATCGCTGCGCTGCTCGGGTCGGTTCCGGCCACGGCCGGGCCGGGCGCTGCTCCGGCTGCTCCCCAGGCCCCGTCTCCCTGCTCACCTGCTCCGAGCTGGTCCCGGGAAGGGCTGCTCCTTCTTCCCGATCTGCAGCTCCCGAGGGTTCGGTACCTCGGGAGCCCTTGAGGTTTTAGCGAACACACTGCATGGACTGATTTTTTAAATGAAATATATGAAATAATTCTTATTCTGACTGACCAGCTGGTGCCTTTGCAGGTTTATCACTGCTGATAACCATCAAGATTTGGTATAATAGAAAGGCTTGGGTTGGAAGAGGTCTTTAAAGATCACCCTGTCCAGCCCCCTTCAGTGAGCAGGGCCATATCCTTGTGTATCCAGTTTCCTTCTCATAATGTTTTTTTTTTTGAGTAATTGCCCCTATTTGTCATGTATCCCAGAAGAGCTGTATGTGTCTGAACGAGAGGGTAACGACTCCACGGGTGATGGGACGCAAAAGAAACCATTCAAGACTGTGTTGAAGGTGAGTGTGGAAAACACATGCTTTGTTTGGCAGTGTGGAATGTGTTTTGGGGCAAGTGGTAGCCCTTGTATTTTTAAATGTGAGTTTCATACTTGTTTTTGCAACCTGAGCAGGACCAAAGTGCCTGCTCAGGCTCTATAAGGATGATTTTGGCTCATTTTGGTTATTTCTTCTCCCATTTTTAGGCGTTGATGACAGCAGGAAAAGAGCCATTTCCTACAATTTATGTGGATTCCCAAAAAGAAAATGAGGTGCTGTGGCATTGAAGGGTTTCCTAGTGGGAATTATTTACTGCTTCTTGGTGTGAAGGGACACAATGTAATCTGCTGTCTTTTGGTCTCTCCTTGAATTCTTTAGAGATGGGCCATCATTTCCAAATCACAGATGAAGAATGTCAAAAAGCTATGGCACAGGGAGCAAATGAAAAATGAAGCTAAGGAGAAGAAGGAGGTAGGTTGCAGAAGGAGCAGAGCACTATTGTTTTCCAAAAACATTACAGTGTCATCCATCATTCCTGCCCCTCCGAAAGAGCTGCAGGTTGTTCCTCACTGGTGCTGTTGTTCCCCATGTTATTTACAGCTGGCCTGGTTACAGCTATTTAATAATTACTTTTTTCAAACCAGGCAGAAGATCTCTTGAGAAGAGAGAAGAACTTGGAGGAAGCCAAGAAGGTTGTTATCAAGAATGATCCCAGTCTTCCAGAGCCCACATGTGTGAGTATGATCCTGTGCCTTGGCACATGGTCTGTGCTAGGGCATCTGTCCAGCACAGAGATTGTGCTGCTCTGGGGTGGGGTCTGGATCAACTCTAAAAGGTGGTGAGCCATTCCCCTATTTAATGGTTTCTATTCTCTGCCTCACAGGTGAAGATCAAGGCTCTGGAGGCTTACAGAGGGCAGAGAGTGAAGATTTTTGGCTGGATCCACAGGTTACGGAGGCAAGGTAAAGCACAAGTGTTGAGCCTGTGCAGGGAGCTAGAACAAATACAGTGGCCTTCAAAATTTGGACACAGAATGAGTCTGACAGCACCTGGTCTCAAATTTTTAAACCAGTTAGGTGCCTTCTTTGGCTAATCTCAATGATCACTGCAACACTGACAGTTTCCCCATAATGTGTGGACAGACATTTCTTAGTTCAAATCCTATGGGATTTTCAATTTGGAGGCTAGTCCAGAATTTCCTCAACTTCTGTGTTTTAAGCTAAAACTGCCAAATGAGGAGCTAACCAGCACCTGCTCATACTGAAACCAAATTCCTTCTCTCTTTAACTAGGGAAAAATCTGATGTTTATTGTCCTGAGAGATGGCACAGGGTTTCTTCAGTGTGTCCTTTCTGATGAGCTGGTAAGTTGTGATGATTGTGTTCTGGTGTGAATTGAAGAGTTCATACCTCATCTGGTGTTCTCTTATGTAAATGTTGTTAAGTTCTCCTCAGTGTACTGTCTCAGTTGTGTTACTGGTAAATTGTGTGTCCTGCCACTGCAGTTTGTCAGTGCGGGAGCTGTTTAGCAGTGACTGTGTGCTAAACGAAAACTTTTAGGAACAAAAACTTGCTCACCTCTGCCTTTGTCTCGCTGCAGTGCCAGTGCTACAACGGGCTGGTGCTGTCCACGGAGAGCAGCGTGGTGGTGTACGGCACGCTGAACCTCCTGCCCCAGGGCAAGCAGGTACAGGAGCTCCTGTGGCTTCTCCTCCTCCCCCGTGGGCCATTGGTGTCCTGAGGGAGGCACAAGCAGAGGGAATTAGGGCTAGAGAAAGAACAAAGCTGTGCTGTCCAGTGTGAGACAGGTGAACTGTGTGACTGTTCTCATTCTGCCTGAAACCATTTTCCACTGATTTTCCACTAGGAGCCAGACAGCTCCTAGACTATAACATGGAGAGCTATATTAAATAAATAGCACAGCTTCATTTTCCTTAACAGGTCTATTCAGTTTTTATTTTGTGAGGTTAAGAATTTTTTCACATCTCTTTTACTGGGGTGTGTTTGTAGGATTGACCCAAGGTTAGGTAATGTGAGCCCTCACTATCACATTTGGGTAAAACTCTGTGGGTTAGCCTTTGAAAATCTGCATTTCTACCCAGAAAAGTACAGTGAATTGAAATGGTTTTAGTTCAGCTTGCAAGCTGAACTACGAGTGCCATTTGTCAGGGGTGGGAGGCGGCTGTGACGCACACAGGGAGCTAGTGAGGGCAGAGCTCTGTCACAGCCTGGGTTGGAAGGGCCTTGCAGCCCATCCAGTGCCATCCCTGCCACGGGCAGGAACACCTCCCGCTATCCCAGATTGTTCCGAGCCCTGTCCAGCCCAGCTTTGGACACTTCCAGGGGTGAGACAGCCACAGATTCCTGGGGCAGCCTATGCCAGGGCTCACACCCTCACAGGGGAGAATGCCTAATATCCCATCTCCCCTGCCCTCAGTCCATGGGAAGCCGGTCCCCCTTGTTCCATCACTCCAAGCCATTGTGAAAAGACATCCAAGGGGCAAGCAGTGGACTTTTTCCCCAGCGTTTGTTTCTCTGCCATTGGCAGGCTCCAGGAGGCCACGAGCTGAGCTGTGATTACTGGGAGCTCATCGGCCTGGCCCCAGCAGGAGGGGCTGACAATCTGCTCAACGAGGACTCGGAGGTGGACGTGCAGCTCAACAACAGGCACATGATGATTCGAGGTGAGAACATGTCCAAAATCTTCAAGGTGCGCTCCATGGTCGTGCAGGCCTTCAGGGATCACTTCTTTGCCAACGGATACTATGAAGTAAGTGTGTGTGTCCCCTGGTCAGCAAGTGACTGCTCTAGTGCCCTGGCTCATCCATATCCTCGGTTCTTCACCCAAGCAGTGACAGCCCTGTTCTCCTGCAGGTCACACCACCAACCTTAGTGCAGACGCAGGTAGAGGGAGGCTCCACCCTGTTCAAGCTGGATTACTTTGGTGAAGAGGCATACCTGACCCAGTCGTCCCAGCTCTACCTGGAGACCTGCCTGCCAGCTCTGGGAGATGTCTTCTGTATTGCTCAGTCCTACAGAGCGGAGCAGTCCAGGACCCGCAGGCACCTGGCAGAGTATGGACACTTGTCCTTGTTTCTTTTTAAACAGTTTGATTTCCTTTACAGTGTGGGAGTGAAAGGGGGTCAAATGTGTGTGTTTGGGTTGTGAGTTCTTTAGATGAGTTAGTTTCATTGCTAAAAATCTGTTATTTGTATGTGACTTTGCAATGGCGTGGCTTTGTTTCAGGTACACTCACATTGAAGCTGAATGTCCTTTTATAAGTTTTGAGGATTTGTTGGACCGTCTGGAGAACTTGGTGTGTGATGTCGTAGACAGAGTCTTGAAATCACCTGCAGCGACCTTACTGTACGACCTCAACCCGGTAGGCAGCAATGGGAATAGCCAAGAAAATAGGCTCTTAAGCCTTTCCTACTCAGCACATTCCTTTGGGAGATGCAGGGCATGGCAGTGGGCTTACTTACTGTTTGTAACAGCAAGAAGAATATTAAACATAATAAGAATGAAAAAAACTGCAAGGCTGGTAAAGACCAAAGCAGGGAACTGTGGGGGAAGATATTCCCTGCTAGTGTGCTCCAGAAGCCAGCAGTGTGCCAGGATTTATGGGAGTGTGTACTGTGCCAGTGCAATAAAACCCTCCATCCCAGAGATCGGATATTGACCGGCTGGTACTTGCTGATGGAGCATGAGGGAGTGATGAAACAGGTGGTGTTTCAGTTCCTCCCCTGGGACATGGAGCCCTAAAGCTCTGGAAATACTTCCTTATCTTTCTTCCCAGGTGATCTATGAGATTTACTGGGCTTGAGATGGTTATGTTTGGTTCTAGCTTTGTAGTACTGGGCTTGATTTGTTCATTTAAATGATAATTTGATGATCTGGGAGCTGGGAAAGGTCACATGCTGATCAGCTAGGAAAGTACTCCTTTTAAAATGGTGCTCCTCCACCTGTCTGTGCTCTTATCCACAGGGTTTCCAGCCTCCCAGCCGTCCCTTCCGACGCATGAACTATGCTGAAGCCATCGAGTGGCTGAAGGAACACGATGTGAAGAAGGAAGACGGCACTTACTATGAATTTGGGGAGGTATGTCCTGCTGGGAGCTGGAGTAATGCAGCTGTGGGTTGTGATTTGATCTAATGCCCTTTAACATTGGGATAAAAACCTGTGTTGTCACCTGTCATCAATTCCCTGGCCACACTTCTCCAGCATGTGCGGCACTTGTTTGAAGGAGCTCAGGAGAACTTGACAGCGTAGCCAGGATTTTTTTTCCCCTCGGCTTTCTGTCTCATATATTGGGGAGACTTAGATTTTAATTGAACAATTTTTCTCCCCCAAAACATGTGGGTTATTATTTCTTCTAAAATAAGTTTGTTTTAAGAATTTAGGTACATTAGGATGGAAGTGTGGACGTGAGCAGTCTGAAACTCTCCTGTTTCATGCCTGCTTCACATGGGACTTGGGTATGGCCATGGTTTTGGTGCTGAGTATGAATAAAGCCTGCTCTAACCCTAGGACATTCCGGAAGCTCCCGAGAGACTGATGACAGACACCATTAACGAGCCCATCCTGCTGTGCCGGTTCCCTGCGGAGATCAAGTCTTTCTACATGCAGCGCTGCAGTGACGACTCGCGCCTCACCGAGTCTGTGAGTTGTTTCACCTGCTGGGGTAGCTTGGAGCAGTGGGGACGTTGGAGGGTGTGAGTGCTGCGGGAAACTCCTCGGGGAATCCTTGCCAGGCTTTGCTCCGGGTGCCTCGGCACGGCTGTCTGGGGCCGTGCACGCTCCCTCTGCGTCGGCGTTGCCGTAATTGGGCCGTGCTGTGTGCGCTGCAGGTGGATGTGCTGATGCCCAACGTGGGCGAGATCGTCGGCGGCTCCATGCGCACTTGGGACAGCGAGGAGCTGCTCGAGGGCTACAAGAGAGAGGGCATCGATCCCACACCCTACTACTGGTACACGGATCAGGTCAGTGCAGCAGCCGTGCTGCTGGGCTCAGAGGGGTTGGCAGCTTTTGTTTCTGGTGGTATTACTGCAACTACAAATTGCTAGAAAATGTGTAATACCCCCTCCCTGGATTTCACAGAGAAAATACGGTACGTGCCCTCATGGAGGATACGGTTTGGGATTGGAGCGGTTCCTGACCTGGATTCTGAACAGACACCATATCCGAGATGTCTGTCTCTATCCACGCTTTGTCCAGCGCTGCAAACCTTAGCCGTCCTCGGGAAAAATTCCTGGAAAACTGAGCAGCTGATGCTTGGGAAAGAATGATACATGCTGCTGTACTACAGCCTGTCTGACAACGAGACTTCCTGCAACCTGTTGCTAATTCAAATACCACTTTAGGATGTGAAAAGGAAACAAACAAAACTTTTTTTTTAAAACAAAATACTAGTAATTATCTGGAAAAAGCCTTAGAAAAATTGTTTAGGTGCATTTATGCTCTTGAGTCATCACAAAACAAAGATCCTGATAAGCTGACATTTAGAAAACAAGATACACTTCTGCTTTTAAATTCTGTGACTTAAAATATGCTGGGCATTTGATCATTTTATTTTTAAATTTGCTTTACTTTTAATCTCTTTTCTCTTGGGGTTTCTGTTGGGGAAGTCAGGAGTTCAAGCTCCTGAAATTCCCTAAGAGCGCCCTGTGAGAATGTTACCGAGAGGCATGAACAAAGGGTAAAAATGGGAATAAGTATCTTGAGCACTGCACGGTTTTAGTTCCTGCTGATTTTAACGGGGGTTCTCTGAGTTGATTCAGTAGCAGGGTGTGTAGTACAGTGCACAGAACTCCACTGTGGGAGAGGCGGGTTGGGTCTGGGGCTTTGGGGTTTTATTCGGATTATTTATTGCTCAGCAGGGCTGAGGCTGGCGAGGCAGGCTTTGCTCCCTTTCCCAAGAGCTGTGGATGGAGCGCTGCCGTGGGTCCATGTATACTCAGCTGGACATGTCTGATGGCTCCTGGGCATGGGGGGTTGTGGTGCCTTTTGCTCCCTGTTTGCAACCAGAAATGAGTGACTGAGACCCGGAGGAACATAACTGAAACACACTGGGTTTTCAGACTGTAGTCCCAGCAGTGCTTTCCCATGTCACGCTGAGGTGTGTTCATAGAGCAGCTCCCTGTCCCTGTGCTACTGCAGCTGAGCAGCTTCCCTGACTGTAATGAACTTATCAAATAGGGATAATGAAATATTTCATGTGGTGAGTCATCGGTATCGTTTCTACTCGTAAAGCAATTCCTTTACCAGAGAGAAAAGTAAAGTTAGGTGCATCATTTGCCACCTGCACTGAGGCTCGAGCTGGATTTGCCATTCACTCCTGGAATTGTTGAGCTGTGGATACCTACATTTTTGTAATAAGTGATTGGTTTTATTCATCTGCATGTTATATAAACTGGTCTAAATCAGCAACCAATAAATTATGGCAACAGAAGCTGGTGTGCAAGACAATACTTGACATTAATGCCTGTTCTTTCACTGAGTCTGTGGAGCTTGCTGCTTGATACAGTATGGACAAAAACCCAGGAAAAGGGAATTTTCAAGTGCAGTAAACATATCCCAAGAACTATTGTGAGTTTTTTTCCCCTTTCTAAACAAAATCCCCACTAATTAACTTAAAAGCATGAATTTTTCTAATTTGGAGGGACCACTTCAGCTGCCCAGTGAAGTGTGCTGGAGAGAAACAGTGTGGTGCTGACTGAGGTTGCCGAGGCAGCAGTGCTGGGGGGAGCAGCCTGGACTTCTGGCACCAGGTAAAGACTTTATAAAATACTTTCCTTTTAGTGCCTGAAGTGATGGGAGGGGAGAAGTGTCAGGAACACTTATTGAAAAACATCCCGTGTTTGGGACGAGTTCTCAGTCCTTAAACCTGACAGGGCTGAGCTGCTTTGTAAAGGTTAAAGGCCTCCTTATCAGGGGAGCTGCTAGAGGAAGGGCTGGGGACTTAAGAAGTGCTCATGGAAGAGGCAGATCAGATAAGGAGCTTAAAAGGTGACCCGGATGAAAGATGCTGTGGAACTTACCAGAGGCTGCTGTGTAACTCCCTCGGCAGCTGGTGCAGAGAGGTGGGCTGGGATCTGGGAAAGATGCTGCAGCTGCTTGGAGCTCAAGAGAACCTTTTTTTTTTTTTTTTTTTTAATTAGGGAAAAAAAGCCTGCAGAAGAGAAAAAAATGTGTAATTAGAACTTGAGTCTCCTCATCCTCACTTACATTTTCTTTCACAGTGTTTCCAGGCAGATTGGTTAAATAGATTAGGAACTGGTAAACTGGGCTGCCAGCACTGGTTTCAGGACCTTTCAGCCATGTCCCTGGCTTTGGGATAACTATCCTTTAGCTTTGATTAGGTTACCACTCCTTACATGCACTGTTTTATATTTATCTGTGTTGAATTTTACCTGGCCCTGCTTTGTAAGGCACTTCTGAGGAGAACATGGTTCTGCCAGCCTTTGGCACCAAGAGCTGGCTCTGCCCTTGGCCTGCTGAGACGAGATGCAAGCCACCCACATGTGCAGGGTAAGTGCTGTGGTGTTTGTTCCTTTGTGTTTAAATCGCAGTATCATTATCGTAGAATCATCAAGTGCAACCACCAACCGAGCACTACCTCTGGAATTCCTAAACCACCAAACCGCATCACCCAGGGCCAGATGCAGATGCCTTTGAAACACCTGCAGGGATGGTGACTCCGCCACCTCCCTGGGCAACTGTCTCCAGTGCCGGAGTTCCAGAGGCTGAATTTCTACGGGAATGGAGGTTACCAGGTGAGCTCCGTGCTCCTGCGCCAATGTCTGACGGGGCGCAGAACCGAGCCCTCATCTCTCGTGAGGCGCCCACTGAGAAAGTCCCCAACATTTTTATAATTTAAAGCGTTTTAAATAACATTTTAAATCTCTTTTTAGAAGATTCTGTAGTTTTAAAACTTTTAGCAGTTTGGAGCGTCACTTCAAACCGGGGATCACTCGCCTTCGCTCCGTAGGAGTCCCCGGGGGCTGCGGAGGGGAGCCAGGGCAGCGCCACTTGCGGGACCCGCCTCAGGACCGCCGCCGGCTCTCCCGGACCGCCCCCGGTGCCGGGGCGGTGCCGGGGCGGTGCCGGGGGCGGTGTGAGGCGAGGGGCGGTGGCGGCGCTGTCTGAGGGAATGCGGGCGGCCAAGATGGCCGCTGCCGCCGCCGCCGCCGGGCGTCACCGTGAGTGTGGGGGCGCCGCCGCCATGGCGGGAACGGGGGCCGGGGGCGGCGGGCGGCCTGAGGGCCGTCCGGACACCGCGGGGACCGCGCGGGCGGGAGCGCGGCGGCGCCGCCGCTGGCCCCGCGTTACACAACGCCCGTGAGGCGCCTTTCATAACGCTGACGGGGCTGGGGCCGTGCGGCCGGCGGGCTTACCGGGGCTGCGGGAGGGCTGCGCGCGGTGATGGCGGCTTCCCGCCGCTGCGCTGAGGGCGCTGAGGGGTCTCCGCGCCCGGCCGCAGGGCTCTGAGCCGCGCGAGCGCGCCCCTGCTCCGCCAGCCCGGCCGCGGGGCTCTGAGGCGCGCTGCTCCGCCAGCCCGGCCGCGGAGCTCCGAGGCGCGTTGCTCCGCCGGCCCGGCCGCGGAGCTCCGAGGCGCGTTGCTCCGCCAGCCCGGCCGCGGAGCTCTGAGCCGCGCTGCTCCGCCGGCCCGGCCGCGGAGCTCTGAGGCGCGCTGCTCCGCCGGCCCGGCCGCGGAGCTCCGAGGCGCGCTGCTCCGCCGGCCCGGCCGCGGAGCTCTGAGCCGGGGGAGCGCGCCCCTGCTCCGCCAGCCCGGCCGCGGAGCTCTGAGCCGCGCTGCTCCGCCAGCCCGGCCGCGGGGCTCGCTCGTGTCCCTGCCCAGAGGCGCCTGTGAGCTGACTGAGCTTACCCACCCCAGTGCTCGCTTTAGAGTTTGATACTGCAGTGCCACTTCTATAACATAGGAAAGAACACTTTTACCAATGCTCCATCCAGCTGGGATCATCCTCGTTGCACGTCTCATTCTGCACTATGTCCTTCATGATGCAGGTGGAAACGTGCACAAACCTCACCCTAAGTCAGACAGTGGCAGAATGTCCTGAGTTGGAAGGGACTCCTGGTCATTGATCAGCTCCTGGCCCTGCACAGGACACCCCAGCAATCGCACCCTGTGCCTGAGAGTGTTATCCAAGTGCTCCTGGAGCTCTGGCAGCCTTGGGGCTGTGACCATTCCCTGGGGAGCCTGGTCAGTGCCCAAGAACAAAAGTTCTTACAGTGCAGAAGTATCAATGCAGCCATTGAAACTTCCCTTTTTATTGTTCTCTGTAATTGGCGTATAGTGCCAGCACCTCAGAAAGTAATAACCCAAGAACTGGAAGTAAAAAATGATTATTTGAAAAGGACCTTTCAGGCATCAGCGATGCTTGAAGTTCTTTAGTTTGCAGCCTTTTGTATCAGTGCAGATGCAGGCATCCACAGCTACGCACTCGTAATCCCGAGTAAGGCTGGATTTGCAGGATGCATTTCATTGCCATTGATTTCAGCAGGTTTTGAGGCTGTTCAGCATCTGTTCAGGAGGTTATTAGAGAACTGTGAGCTGTAAGATGCTCTTCCCAGCAGGTGGGTTGGCTGCTGAGGAGCTCTGTGCTGTTGGGGCTCAATTGCTGCTGAGCTCCTGTGGTCTGACAGGGGAAATGTCGCACTGAACGACTGCCGGAGAGACAGGGATGCAGGATTTAACCTTTTTTTTTCCTCTGTGAGCAATTCACACTATTTTTGTGCTAAAAGAATACCATGTAATGACGATGAACTCCTGAGGAGAACGAAGTGTGCCTTTGGAAAGGCAGGCTGTAACCAGCATGGAATTGTATGGAATGGGCTGGAAGGAACCTTAAGGATAATCTAATTGTGTTCAGCTGCAGGGCCCCTGACATAAGGACGTGGAGATGCTGGAGTGGGTCCAGAGAAGGCCACAGAGATGCTCCAGGGCTGGAGCCCCTCTGCTCTGGAGGCAGCCTGGGAGAGCTGTGGGTGTTTAGCCTGGAGAAGAGAAGGATCCAGGGAGAGCTCAGAGCCCTTTCCAGTGGCTAAAGGGGCTCCAGGAGAGCTGCAGAGGGAGGTGGATGTGTGCAGACTTGTGAAATCCTGGAGTTTGTGTGATGCCGAAATCCAGATTAATAGCATCACCTGGCTGGGTAGTGAGAAAGAAGGTGGCCCAAATCTCCAGGGAAATGGATTCTGGAGCTGCTGCTCGGTGTTCAAAGAGGAGCATGTCTAACCTGCATTGTAGACATGTGGAAATCCTGCCCTTGTCTGGGGTTAGCCCAGGTGTGTCTGACCCACGAGGAGTGACACAGTCTGACACTTATTCCTCAGGGTCAGCCCCTTGTTTCTGCTCTGTTGTCACCAGTTATTTTGGAGTTATGATTGGAACTCACAGACTAGCAAGGCTTTGGTTTGGGTTTTGGTAACTGCAGAGCTGTAAGTACAGAGTGTTCAAAGAAAGGCAGAAGCTTGTGATTTCCTGGCTCGCTTTGACTGCAGGAGCCGGAGCTTGCGGTGCTGGCCGGGTTTGTTCTGCGTGCTGTGGGGATCAGCTTGGCCGGGTTTGTTCTGCATGCTGTTGCTGTGTCCCCTGAGCGTGAGCTGGGCTCTCTGTTGTCTCTCCGCAGTGCTGAGGAGCTGCAGCCAGCTGCGGGTGCCGCTGCGATGGAGAGGCCAGGCCACGGCGGCCGCGGTGACCGAGAGCGCCAAGCCGCAGGTCCAGCCCCAGGAGCGGTGGGTGTGCGCGCCGGGCCGTGCCTGTCCTGATAGTGGCTGTGGGGCTCTGCTCTGCTCTGCTCTGCCCGTGCGAGATTGTTTATCTGCCTGCCTGCACTCACCTCGTGTGCTGCCTCGGTCCCTTTGTTGTTTCAAGTTCTGGTTCCTGCTCCCTGGGGTTCTTTCAGCAGCCTTCTGAGACATGCTCCAGCAGAAAGGGAATGGAAGCTGAGGTCCCGAAACATTGGGGCAGGCCTGGGCTCCTCTCAGTGCCCTGTTGTGAGACCTTAACGAAAGGGCAAAGCTCCCTGTGCAACCTGAGCAAGTGAGGTCTTGGTCTGTGGGCTCCCTTGAGCAGGGGAAACAGTTCCATGGGGAAATTGGGTGAGAGTTGTGATCAGCAGCCATTCTGTAAATGCTGATACCACCATCTGTGCTGCTGTGCCATGAGGGACGTTATCCTTACAACGGTGTGCCACCCGGATAGAAAATCCATTCTGGAAAAACCCAACCCAAACACAACTGGCCCTACAATGAATCTGTGTGTAGAAGGGCTTCTTGCTGCTGTCACTGCTGCAGGAGATGAGATGTGTCCCCACAGCAGTGAAGAGAGACTTGTGTGAGTGGCTCATCTGCTTTCCAGGGAAGCTGCTGCCTGGTTTGGTTTGATTGCGCAGCTGAGATCCGGTTTTATAACCTCCCTTAGAGCCAGCGGCTACGAGACAACTTTCTCAGTGTGTCTCCACCTAAAGTTTGTGCTACAAAGTGGTTACTTTTTAAAAAAGCAAAGATCATGTAGATACTTGTGTCTGGCCATTCCTGTTCCTAGCGCAGGTGTTTACATAAGCAGGAGGAGCCTTGGGGTAGGAGCTGCCTTTGCAAAAGGCAAATGTGGGAGGATGAGCCGGTTGTTTTGTCATCATAATAAAGATAAAAGCAGTGGGTCGCTAGGATTTGAAATACCTCTTGCTTCCCTAGGAAACCTAAAACAGGAATCTTGATGTTGAACATGGGCGGTCCGGAGCGGCTGGATGACGTCCATGATTTCCTGCTGCGTCTCTTCCTGGACAGAGATCTGATGACCCTTCCAGTTCAAAAGTGAGGAGCACTGGCATCTCCTGTGGTACAGGCAGTGTTGGGTGTTGCTGTCTGAGCTGCAGGCTCAGATATTTACTTCTGTGGAGAGCAGCACTCCCTAAGACTGCTTCATCTCGGAGCAGTCAGTGCAAGGGGCAGTGCTGGAAGCCTCTGGATTAGGTGTGCCGTGGCTGCTCTCTTTTAGCTGCAGACTGAGGTGTGGGAAGGGTGGAGGGAGGAACATGAACCAAGCCACGCTGCTTTGCTGTAATTTGCCGAGATGGCCGGGGAAAAGGCGCTGCAGCAGAGCTCTGGGCAGGGGGAGGCTTTGCTGTGCTGCTAACACATCCCTCTCCAATGATGCAGTAAACTGGCTCCGCTCATCGCCAAGCGCCGCACCCCGAAGATCCAGGAGCAGTACAGCAGGATCGGCGGCGGCTCCCCCATCAAGAAGTGGACGGCGGTGCAGGGAGAGGGCATGGTGAAGCTGCTGGACAGCATGTCTCCTCTCACTGGTATTGCTCTGCTCAGCCTCCCACGGGCTGCTTTTGCTCTGTCTTGAAAAGCAGCTTTGGCTTCTTGGTTTTCCCTGTGGGGTGGTGTGGATTTCCTCCCTGCTGGGAAGTCATGGCAAAGATAGTGCAGAAGGGATTCCATTCATTGTAAGGTTGTTATGGAAGGCTGGGCTCGGGGAGCCACCTCTGTCTCTCCTGTGATCGTGGGACGATGGCTGTGCTGCACTAAGTGTGTTATTTTCATGTGTCCAAAGGCAGGTGCCAGGAGTGTCCCTTGGTGTGTGGCACTGCCCTGCTTGAGCCTGAGGAAGCCTGCACTGAAGTCAAGTGGCTGAGGCCTAGAGGGGAAGAAAGGGGAATGTGTTTCATGTGAACCACTGAGGCAGGTATGGGAGGGGGTGTTCAGAGTGGTGTTGTCAGCAGGGCTGAAAGGAGGACAGCTGGAGAAAAGACAAGGCTTTGTAGATGAGCAGTGCAGGGCACGGCTGAGCGATAGCAGCGAGCCACACCCAGGGACACAGCAGGAGATAAGGCTGGGCAGTTTGGCTGGCGTGGAAGAAGATGCTCTCTCTGCCAGTCCTTCTTGGTGAGAAAACTTCAAACGTGAATGCAGCCTCCTTCCCCCGTCTCTGTGTCACAGAATCCCTCCCAGCAGAGAGTGCTAACTGGTATGGGATAGCCTGTGCCAGGCTGCCTGGTAGCGTGACTGTGGTGGGAAATGGGTGCAGGTTTGGAGCAGGAGCCCTGAAGGGGCAGCCTTGCAGCAGGTTCTGCAGATAAGGCTTGGAAGGTTTATCTGCTTTCCCCAGTGTCCCGCTCCCACTTGCTTTTGTTTGGTGACCACTCTCTGTGCAGTCACACCCTTCTCTGGGCACCTCTCCTACCTGATAAGTCCCTTGGAGGCTTCTTTTCTACTTGACAACAGCTGCAGTTTAACAATAGAATGTGCTGAGCACTGCCAGCCATTTCCTTCAGCATCCCAAGTGACCGTGCAGAGCACTGTGTTCCTTCAGAACGGTGTGGATGTGTTGGATGTGCTTGCAGACAGCATTTGGGAATATGGTGTGCTCACAGGTAGCACTTTGGGAGTGCTGAGCCCTCTGAATGAGTGACTGGCAGGAGGTGCTGGCACCATGTGAAATGTGGCAAAAAGAAATACTTTTAGGGTCATTTTGCCTTGATCAGGTGTGGGCAGCAAGTGAAACCTCAGTGTGTCAGCAGCAATGCTCTCATCCTAAATCCAGGCACAGCTCTGTACCAGCTGCTGGCAGGGGAACTGGCTCTGTCCAAGCCAAGATCAGGACAGGATGGCACTATTATTTAAACAGCCTATGCACAGACACCAGCACCTCTCTTTGCTGCCCATGGTCCTGAACAGACCTGACACTGCGAGGGGATTCCTTCCAGGCTGTCTGTGCTCTTCCCAGGTTAAACTTTCCCAGGTTAAACTCCTGTTAGTCAGACTTTTGTCTTTAATGCCACTCAAAGATGTTAATGAGGTTACTGGCTCAAGGGCTCCTGAAGTTGGCTCTTTATTTGCTGCTGCTCCCGGCTGGGAGCTCTCCTGCCTCCTGCAGAGAACTGGGGATGACTAAACCCATTTTCTGAATCTTGCATAAATATATGGAGTGGAGCCCAAGCACGGGACATCTGCTTCCTTCAGAAACCTGCTAAATGTTGTTTCAGAGCCACTGACCCAGAAACCCTGCAAAAGGAACTTTGCTTTTGTTCTCCTAAGAACCTCTGTCCTCCACTTAGAGAAAACAAAGCAGCAAACCTCCCCTGCCTGCTTCCCGTCCCCTAACCGAGCCGTGCTCCCAAAGCTGACACCTGAAAGATTAGAGATAAAAAATGGAGGAACCCGAGATGTTCTCAGGGAGGATCATGTTGCTGCCAAAATTAGGTGTTAAAGCCCTAAAGCTTTTTATAAAAGCCCTCCAAAATCAGGATGGGAGAGCACATGTGCCTGATTCACTGCTCTGCTGCCCCAGACAGCAGTGCTGGCCCTTGGGGTTTGGGTGCCATCGGAGCAGATGGAGCTGTGGGCTGTGAGGGCATCGGGCTGTTCATTTGGCTTCTCGTAGCCACACTTTTTTACCTTTATGTCTTTAGATCAGGATTTGCCTGGTGAGACACCGGGGCTCTGTCCAGGCTGGGAACCGTGCCTCTGCTAAATGCAGGAGAAGCAGGCAAGTGGTGTTCCTGCAGAAGCAAACCATAATATAAATCACTTTTAAATTCTAATCACAGCCAAGTGAGGTACCAGAAATGTGCTTGGCCAAAGAAAGGGCTTACATGACAGAGCTTTACGGAAGTAGCCAGAAAATGATCAGCGAGTTTATGTCAGCAGTGTCAGCCTGCCTGTTGATGTGTGTTTTACACATAATGATGTGTTCCTGTGAATTCTCACCTTTTCCTGCAATCCCTGTCCCGGTGCTGGCGCCGGCAGCACCTCACAAGTACTACATCGGGTTCCGCTACGTGCACCCCCTGACGGAGGAGGCCATCGAGGAGATGGAGAGGGACGGCATCCAGAGGGCCATCGCCTTCACCCAGTACCCCCAGTACAGCTGCTCCACCACGGGTGAGCACTGGGCAGGGCAGAGTGCTGCGAGTGGGGATAAATCATGGGAGCTCTGACCAGACCAGTGCATTGTGTGATATATGTGTGTATATATGTGTGTGTGTGTATATATATATATATATATATATCTGTTCCCACTAGAGACTCAGCTCTGATTTATGGTTGTGTTTTAATTATGGAGCATTTTAAAGTGTGATAATCGTTTGCTGTCAAGCTGTTCCAATCTGACAGCTTGCTGGTGGCCTGGCTGAACTTGTGTTGTTAATTCTCTATTTCAGGAAGCAGTTTAAATGCCATTTATCGCTACTATAACCAGAAAGGGGAGAAGCCAAAGATGAAGTGGAGCATAATTGACCGATGGCCCACCCATCCCCTTCTCATTCAGGTGTGGATCTGAAGGCTTTGAGGTTTATATATTTTCTTTTAGAATATAGAGATAATACTGAGGAAGGATAATAGGAAGGCTTCAATCTGAGGGTGCATTTCGGTTGTGTGATGAAATGAGTCTTGTCTACCATGTCTGAAATTACAGGAGAAGGAGGGTTATTTCATACCCCATGCTTTGGCAAGATAATGTGTGAAAGCAACCACTGTGCACGTCCTGTTTTAAAAGCTGGGTGATGTCACCCTAATGGTGGTGGCTGGAAGGAGCCTCTACAAGCCATTAGTCCAAATTCCTGCTCAGAGCAGATCTGTGATCAGCACACACAGAGATTGTGCTGGTTTGTCAGATTCCCCTCCGCAGCACAGAGTAAAAACTGGCTGTGGCAGGAGCAGTGAAGGGAGGCCTTCATGCTGCTCTCTGTCCACAGAAAAAGCACTGAAGGCAGGGGGGGTGGAGCTGCCTGTGCTGGTGATGCTCCCTGGACACACTGCCTGAGTGTTGTGCACACTGAGGGAATTTGGGAGCTTTTAAGGCAGCAGGGACATGGGAGCTGCCTCTCTGCATCACTGAGGGCAGGGATGCCTCCAGTGTTCCCCGCTCAGGTCCTTTTTCTGTTTCCCTGAGCAGTGCTTTGCTGATCACATCCAGAAGGAGCTGAACCTGTTCCCAGCAGACAAAAGGAAAGAGGTGGTCATCCTCTTCTCAGCCCACTCGCTGCCCATGTCTGTGAGTTACCTCAGGGCAGGGTGTGGGCACACAGCTGTGCAAGGGCCAGGCAGATCTGGTCCTTCCCCAGTGTTCACTGACGCCAGAGGTGTGCTGTGCTCGTGCTGCAGGTGGTGAACCGCGGGGATCCCTACCCTCAGGAAGTGGGAGCTACTGTCCAGAGGGTCATGGAGAAGCTCAACTACTCCAACCCTTACAGGCTCGTGTGGCAGTCCAAGGTAAGGGCTCAGGGAAGCTGAGCAGGTGAAGCCTGTGCAGGGTCTTACTGGAGTGAAAAAAATACAGCTTTACTTACATTTTCGGTTGTTCAGTCTTGTTCAGGCCAGCCCAGGTTCTTTCCTTTGAGATGTAATGGTGGGAAGTGTGTCTTCATTAAACATTCAGTGGAGAAAGTGAGAAGTACAACTGGAAGCAGGGAAATAAAAATAACTATTTCTATCCCATCCATAACCTGTTCTGTCATCCTGCCTAAAGAAATGTGTGTGTTCTTTGTAAGAATGATTTACAGAGTGTTTTTCCTTTATTCCTGCTCTTTTATTCCAGGTTGGACCAATGCCCTGGCTTGGTCCCCAGACAGACGAGACCATTAAAGGCCTGTGCCAGCAAGGAAAGAAGAACATGTTGCTGGTCCCAATAGCATTTACCAGTGACCACATTGAGACACTGTATGAACTGGACATCGAATATGCCCAGGTTTTAGCCAACGAGGTGAGTGCTCTGTGGGTTTGGTCCCTGTTTGGGTAGCTCTGCTCTGAAATTATTTCTCCTGGGTTGCAGTTTGCTTTGTAGTTGCTTCTTGCAATATTAGCTTTATTTTCCTGTAAATCAAAAATTAATCTAAACTGGCTTAACCACAAAACAAGTGGGAGTTTGTCTTTCTAGATTTAGATCTTTAAACCATTACAAATATTGCTCAAAACCAATTAATTATTTTTGGCAGCAAAATGTAATGTTGCCCGGTAGTAATTTTTGCTGTACTGAGAACCATGATACTGCATTTAATCCTGTAATTTTGGGGCGGCTTCTGAATGAAGGGAAGATTTTGAAGGCCACCCAGTAAAGGATCAGATTAACAGGTGTAACTTTTTCCTCCTTATTTTTGATTCAGTGTGGAGTTGAAAACATCAGAAGAGCGGAGTCTCTCAATGGAAATCCACTGTTCTCCAAGGTATCTGCTACATTGCAGTAAAGGTTTGCAGTTGTGTTTCCTGCTGAGTGTGGATGTTTTCAGGTAGTTTTAAGGTATTTTAAGAGCAGAAACGGAGCCCCTTGTACCTAATCTGCCCAGCACAGAGGGTTCATTGCACCACAGTCTGTGGTTCTGTCAGCAGGGGCACGGGGTGCAGGTTGGGGCGGGGGGACTGCACGGCTGAATCTGCTCCCTCTGACCTTTCCCACCCTCCCTGCAGGCCCTGGCAGACCTGGTGTGCTCCCACCTGCAGTCCAACGAGGTGTGCTCCCGCCAGCTGACGCTGTGCTGCCCGCTCTGCGTCAACCCCGTGTGCAGGGAGGCCAAGGCGTTCTTCAGCAGCCAGCCGCTGTGAGCCGGGGGACGCTGCCCCGGGCGGGACCGGGACCGGGACCGGGTCGGCTGCTCGGGCACAGCCCCGGCTGGGGCTCGGTGCTGCTGGGTGCGTGCAGCACAGCTCGCCGTGGGGCACTTCTGATGTTTCCTTTCTTTGAGAAGAGTTGTAGGAGGTAGGGAAATAAGGGCATTCATCCTGTCAGGCGTGAGGAGATCTCCTGTCGTCCGACCCCAATGGGACGGAGTGTGAGCCCAGCAGGAGCACTGCAAACCCTACACAGCTTTTTTACAATTAGCTTCTGTTTCTATGCAGGGATTTACTTGTATGCAGGGGGTCACCGGTTCATTAACTTGCCAGGTCGAAGGTACACTTATTTTGGTTTTGCTTAAGGTGCACTCTGACCAGCCCAGTCTGTTGTCTGTTCTGAGAGGGACTTTGCAGCTGGCTTTGGTGACTTTGTAGGTCAAGTTACTTCTAATGCTTTTTAATAACGTGTGTATGTGTGTGTATATAATTTTTTTTTTTTTTTAGAGCATAAAGATAAGGCTTTGTTTTGGTTTTCTCCTGCCAGAAACTTCCCATGAGAGCTTAGGTGGGATAGTAGAACGCACAAAACTTGTTTACATTTTCTAGGAAAAACATTTTCATTATCTGCCGGAAAGTATTTAAAGAGCATAAATTTAAAGGAATTAGCCTGCTTGGGTGATACTGGAGAATTTGCTCAAGTGAAACTGCCTCTTTCAAGTCTAGCAGGTGCACGTGTGGAAACATGTTGGCTTATCTGTTAAGCAGAATAGCTTTTTAAATTCTTGTATTTTTATTAAATAAGGGCTTTTTCTGTTTGGTGAAGTAAATTGAGGAAGTCAGGCTTGTTCTGCAGGAGGTTTATAGATCCACTCTGTGCTTTCTACTGTGCCACAGTACTGTGGTTTTGTGGGATACCTATGCAGTGCCATAGGTAGGATTGCTCTGGCTTAATTGCTGTTACTTAGACGGAGATGATCAGTCAGGAGTTTCACATTGCAGATGCCTGAGAACAGGCAGCCCTGTGCTGGGCTCTCCTGGAAGGCTGCCAGCCCACAGCAGGGCCGTGCTGGGCAGGGCCTGGCACTGGCTGTGCCCCGGGAGGCACAGGGTCCCCTCCTGCCCGGCGGGGTGAGAGCGGAGCTGTGACAGTGGCACCGAGCCCTGCGTGCGGCAGCCCCGCTGGCACCTCCTTGGGCACACGTTTACTTGATGTCCTTAGCACTGAAATGCCAGGAGCTGTGCCCTGCAGGCTGGTTCCTGGGAATTGCTGGTGGCTGAGAAGCAGATGCAGTGCTGCTCAGCCAGGCTGGCCTCCTCAGGTGAGCATGAGGCACGAGCAGTTTGGACCTCTGGTCTTTTGAGAACAGGGTGTTGAAAGAGAGAAGAGGCCTCTTGTGGTATATCAGGGGTTTGTCTCATTCTGTTTTGTTGTTGGAGTTAAGAATGGGATACTGAAGGAACGGATGGCTCCCGTGTTGAGCACCTGTGGAGTGCTGTAAATCCCTAATACCTCTGGAGAGTTGCTTGCTCCACTGCCATACCTGCTTCCCAGGGTGAGACAGACTGAGATTCCTTCAGTGCTAGAACCTCCTGCAGCACCCTGTTCCCCACAGAAAGAAGTCTTCCTTGACCCTTCATGCCTGTGCCTGTTTCAGGGGCAGGGAGCCAGGAGCTTCTCTTCTCCCTCCTCTCCCTCCCCCTGGGCTCTGCTCGCTGCCTGGGCAGGAAAAAGGAGCACAAATGTCCAATATGTCTGGGAACACTGGCCTTACGTCTGTCCTTGGACAAAGAACTTTCTCTGTTGCACTCCTCTGTGTGACACTTAGGGATCAGTGGAAAACAATCTGGTCTGTCAAATCTTCCTACTCACTCCTGTTTCCCCACAGCTGGAGGGAACGTGGACCTTCAGGCAGTCCAGGCTGTGACCACCACATTTACAAGTGTGGAAAGCAAAGGTTAACATCGTATGAACCTTGTGGTATTATAAATACAGATGGCTTTTCATTTTCATACTGGAGAGAGTCCTGAAAATACTAGCTGGCACTGATTCTGAGGCATTACATTTGTCCCCAGTAATAAAAGGTACTTAAAATTCACTTTTGAGTGTTCTAACCACAAGTGGGATAATTACTCCGTTGCTGCTATTACACCATCATGTAGAAATCACTTAATTTTCCAGCTTTTAGCAGATGGAGCCTGTCTCAAAGAGCTGTTTGCTGTCAGAGGATAGTTTTCATCAAGGTTTCTGAGGAGTCCCTCATCTCCCAGGCCAATGCCCAGCGGGTTGGGTGAGTGTGTGCCCTGAGGAGCGATGAATCCACGGTGCATGTGCCTTCCCGAGCCCTCCTCAGGGCTGTGTCCAGCTGAGTTTGCAGCTCACCCTGCCCCGTAGGTGTTTGAGTGCCCCTGGCAGACTGGGAACCCCTGGTGCTGCTGCCTCAGTGTCCCTGGACAGCATCCAGCTGGCTGTGGCACTCCTGCAGCTCTGCAGTCCCAAGTGGTGCTCCCAGCACTGTGGAGCTCTGGCCTCAGGGCATCGACTGGAAATTGAGGAGTTAGGAGCAGCCTGTGGTGTCTGGGAAGTAAAGGGGTGAGCTTGTTTTCCTGCTTTAACACTCTGCAGTTTGGCTTGTTTTTTCATTATTGAGTGAATTTTTCTCTTTGGAGTTTCTTTTTAACCTGTCCCTCGGTCCTTGCTGCATTTCAGAGAAGGTGGGAGCTTCCAAAAGGTGCTGTGACACCAAAGGGGTGTGGATGGTGTCAGAGCTGGCCTCTTGCTGTCCCCTGGAGAGGAGGATGGCACAGCTGAGTTCAGTGGGGCCAGGGTTTCCCTAGGACTGCCTAAAAGCTCAGTGAATTCTCCCTTCCCACCACGCCCAGAGAGCTGGGGATCACCTTGAAGTGTAAGCTGCAAGTCAGAGCAGCTCCTTTGATTTTGTTAATGCCAGATGTGTACAGATACTTGCTTTTAGCCCAACATATGCATTTCAGATTGACCAAGGACTTCCATGTGATGTAACAGAGCAAATTCGGATACTCCTACTGTGTGTCATTTGCCATAAGGATGGAATTCCAATTAAAGTTCTTTTGAGGAAATAACTGAGCTGTGTGTCTTTGTAAGGGCCCTTTTTGCTGGTGTTTGAAGTTCTCTCTGCACCTCTGGTGTCAGGCTGGGGTGAGTTACAAAGAGACTGGAGAAGAAGGTGAATTGGGGATTTGCCCTGGTATGGGATCCCACCTGTGATGGATAATTTATTCTGTTCCCTGTTAGCAGTCTCTGGGCAGCTCCTTGCTGATGTTACTAATTAAGTGCTTGATTGATTATTTTCTAGAGCAGGGATTGGAGATGTTGGATACTTAAGCTGATCCATTAGTGAGCTCCTGTGACTGGGTTGTGACGGGGGAGAGAGCGGGATGCAAATCCAACACAGTGGAAGGTGGGAACTGACGAGGAGAGCAGTGATGGTGCTTCTTTTCCTCTGGAATCTCGGTCCAAGCTTTGCTGTTTGACCTTTGAGTGGGGATTTGGCTGTGTGAGCCTGTTTGGCAGAACTTGAGCAATGTCCTATTTGAATCCAGAGCAATCTCCGGCATTTTGGAAGCACTTTTCCTTCCCTCCCTCTTTCTGAAGGGCTCACTCTCCACCTGCTTTCCTGCTTGGCCGTGTTTCTTTTTCTTTCCACGAGCCAATTCCCGAGCATGTGTGGGCTGCACTGTCTCCCGTACTGTGTGGAAGTACTTGTCTCCAGCAGCACAGCCTGGGCAAGGGGTTTAGTTGTCAATCCGCATTTCAAGCCCTTAGGAGCAGGTTCTACTTCTGCCTGTAGAGCACAGGGATTTGTAAATTTAGACCAGGTCTAAAAACTGCCTTTTGTTTTCCTGCTAAATTTGTGTTCAGCAGTAAGTGCCAGGAAAAGGTTATTTAATTTGAGTCCCTTGGCCTGGCTGATGAGCATCCTTTCTGTGCTGTGTGGAGATGGATTGTCTGTCCAGAGAGGGATCATCTCCAGCACACATGTGGCCTTTCATCCCCCGGGCTCAGAGGTGGCTCCGGCTGCTGGTGACATCTGAGCCCCAAAGGCCAACAGAGCACAAGGCCATAAAGTGGGGAGGAAGTGCTGCTTCCTTCAGGAGGAAGGCTTGGAGCACCGGTCTGTGGAATGTGTCCCTGCCCTTGGCATGGTCTTTAAGCTCCCTTCCAATCCCTCTGGGATTCTGCGAGTCCCTGGAGGTGCTGCCTGTGATCCCATGGCTCAGGGGGCAGGGAAAGGACTGCAGAACCGGAGCCTGGCAGTTCCTGGAATGATGGAGAGGGAGCTGTCACGGGCAATCCAGAGCGCTCCATTCTCCTGTCATTTTTAAGGATGATCCATAAAGTGTGAACATCACCCTAATTGTGTTTCTCCAGTGAGCAGGCGGCATTTCCAAGGAAGCTGAAATGAGCACTTAAGGGATAATGTGGGGAGCAGTCCGGGGGGGCTCCTGCCCAGGCCGGGCTCCTCACAGCCAGCTCCCCAGCGCTTTAATCCCGGAGCTATTGGGCCATTACGGCTGTCTTTTACTGCCTGGGATTTCTGTGCTGTCAGGCTGAGGGGAGGCATGTGTAACATGACCCAAAGTGGTCTTGTATGTTTTAATCTGCTGGTTTAATATCTTATGGCTTCCTGCCATTATCCCTTTCTGAGCTGGATCCTGGAGTCACTCCTGGAGGTTTGCTGTGTGCAAAGGCTGAAGGCAGCTTCCAGCGGGTGCAGCTTGTGGCAGGCAGAGCTGGCCTTGGCTTGTTCTCTGTCTGTGTGGGCTTTGGTGACAGTTGTTCCCACCTGATGATCCCTCTGTGGTATCCTGCCACGCTGCCTATTCCAAGGGTTTTTTTGTCCTGCTTGTTTTCCTTCAGCACCTCCATCCTACATGTGCTGAAAATCGGTGGCATTACAAAAGCTCCTGCTGTTTTCCTCCAAAAGAAACCCACTTCCCTCACCCTGACTTGCTGTTGGTGTGCAGCTTTTTCTGCAGGCTGCATCCCAGGCTGTTTCCTGAGGGAATTCCCGCAGGGTTTCAGGTGGTGTGGGGTGTTTGGATCAAAAGAGCTGCCAGGAGGAGCAGGAGGAGGATGGGAGCGTGCTGTCTGCTCCTGAGGGGCTTTATAGCACTTTAACTGGGGTAACTGTGATTCTTGGCAGGTTAGGAACCAGTGAGTGAGGGGAATCTGCAGGAATGAGCTCCATGGTCCAGAGTGGGCCCTGAGCACAGGGGGCCGGCCTGGCACTGGGAAAAGCTGATGCTGATACAGCATCTAGCCCAGCTGCAATCCTACCACACACCCAGCTCATCCTTCAGCTTTCGGCAGCTTAATGAAATGGTCCCATTTCCCTCTTCCAGCTGTGCCCACTGCTAAGTGCCTAGAAAATGCATCCCCGGGGGAGCAATCCTGCAAGTGAGATGGAAATGACCTGCCGTGGCTGCATTAGTCTCAGTGTCACCACTGCTGCCTCTTTGCTGTTAAAGGGTTTTTGCCCCTCCTGTGCTCCACAACCATCCCGGTGGCACCGGTCCTGCAGTCCTCACCACCTCCCTGCACACGAAGGGGGTTTGGGGAAACACTCCTCCCCAGCACATTCCCTCTGGCTCAGGGCCCCTCCTGTTCCATGGAGCCCCCTGTGCACAGCCCAGCCAGAGCGAGAAGGAAAGGAGGCTGGAAGAGGCACGTCCTGGGCTCTGTGACACAAAGTGCTGAGGAGGCAGCTCTGTCTTTATCTGCACCCGTGGCCACTCAGCAAAGTGAAATGAAGCAGCGTAAATTTAATTAATGGCAGAATCTGGCTCAGTGTCGAGAGAGGGACACAAAGAGAATGAGCATGAAAACAAATTTTTCAGTGAGTTTATTAACCCCAAGGTTAGACATTGGTGCCAAGGTTAGATCCCAGACAATAAACCCCACAGGGCCTTGTCACTGCTCTGGGGCTGGGACACGGTGCTGCTGGGGGCTCTGGGGTCCCCCATGCCTTCCCCACGCTGACCCTGCTCCAGGTGGTCAGAGGAGTGAGTTAGGGCAAGAAAGGGCTGGTTTGGTTTTGTTTTTAAAGACAGAAATACAACAAAGCGCTTTTCTTGTACACTTTGTTTCGCTTTTTTTCAAGGAAACAGAACAAATAAGACTTGTCCACAGCTAGGGTAAATAACTGACTAAATGAATGAATGAATGAAGGCAAACCTGCTACATCCTCCTTGCCATGGAATTTCAGCTCCAGGAACCTCCTGCCTCCTCCCGTAGAGCTGCTTCAGGGAAAGAAAGTGCAATAACTAACATAATTCTATGGTAATTACATTGCATCATATAATTCCATGACATACATAAACATAAAGTGATTTCTCCTGTAATATCACAGCTACACCGGCTGTGTATTTTTGGGATGTGGTCCTGCACTGGGACCTGCGTTAGTCTGGCTGTGCTCAGCTCTCCTCACCCCTCCCTATCCCTGAGAGCGGCAGCAGCCCGAGCCCTTGCTGTGGGATGGGGTTGTTGTGGAAAAAACCCTGGGAAAAAATCAGGAACTTTTGATTGCACAAGGAAGCAAAAGCATTGTTTTCCTCCTTTATTGAACTTTGGCAAATAATATGTGTGTGTGGGTTTTACATCAATAGCTATAAATAAAACTTTGAAAGCAATGTAATACTTGTCATTGAGATAAAGGACATCTATTGGCACAAATCAGTGAGTAAAAACCCTTTAATGATAAAATAACATTCACTCTTTAGCTACTTTATTTGTCTGAAAAACTCAGCTTACACTCAGTTCAACATACCACCTTCCACAAAGTTAAAAAATGACATAAAATGACATAATAAAATAGACCTTAAATTTCATAATACAAGTACCTTGGCAAATTCCAGCCAGCTGGAGCAGCTCGTGCCAGCCCCGCTGTGCCCTTGCCATGGCCTCACATACCCCTCGTTGCCTCTGGACTGAGGAATGCAGGTGTACTCGGCGTGTCGGTGAGGAGTGGTGGCATCTGCCAGCAGGGCTCTGCCGGAACATCCCGCTCTGCTTATTGCGGAAGAACGTGGAAAGCTTTCTGGAAGATTAACCACTGTTACAATCATCAACTGTCTTACAAAAACCCCTATTTAAAGTTCTTGTGTCTGTTACTGTCTTTGGCAGAGAAATCAGGAAAGAAAATAACCCGACTATGTTACACAGCTTTCATTATTACCACAACCTACCGAGTAAGGCCAAATAAAAATGTCTCCTTGCACTAATGAGAGCACATATCTAATATACCCTTAATGACAGACAATATCAACACTCAGAGGCCTCCTCAGGAGAATGCCCCTCCCCAGGCCTCCTTTTCCACGCAGAGTGCAGGGCACGGAGCAGCTGGTTTGGCTTTATGTCCAGCACAGTCTGGGATCAGAGGGACATCGGGGCTCCGAGGCTGGGCCCGCAGAGAAAACATAACCCATCCTTAAACGGGGGGGCTCAAGCGTGAATCTAGACAAATCAAAGGGGATAAAGCACCTTAACAAACCTGGCCCCAGGGCAGGGGGGCAAGGGGCTGCCCGTGGGGCAGGAGCAGCACAGGCCACAGCCAGAGTGCTCGGGTGGACACCCGGGTGACACGGCCAGGACAGCGCTGCTGAGCCCAGGGGTGGTCCCTGAGCACCCACCGCGCCGGCCCTGCTGTGCCCAGGGCTGCCATAAAGCCAAAGGAGCTCCTGACCTGGGAAAAAACGCACAGCAGCCTCCGTGGGGAGCAGCACATGCACTGCCAGGGGACTGAAGGAATCCAGTCGCTGGGGAGAAGCTGCCAGCTGGCCAGACTTCTCCCCAAATGGCAATTTCATTGTAACTGAATTTGGGTCTGTTTAACACAGGGACAGACCAGAGCTGATCTGGACAGCCGCCCTGAGCTGCACGGGGCGAAACTGGGCATGATTTCACAGCGTCAATGCAAACACAACTGCGCCACGACTGCGAACAGCTAACAGGCTCCATGCATAAATAAATACCATCAACCCAAAGACCTCGTCCCAAACCCAAAGGAAGAAGTTGCCATTAAGAACCACGATGCATCACACTGCTAAGGGTTTGCCTCATGCATAAACATGGGAGCGCTGATTGGCAGTTGCTAATTATAATACTACACTGTCACACAGGACAATCAGCTCTTCAGACCAAGTAGCACGAATGTAGAAAATAATTTTTTTCCTCTTTTTTTCTTTTTTTTTTTTTTTTTTTTCTTCAACAGAGCAAATGAACACAGATTGTTTCTTCAGCAAAATATGAAACTGTAAACTTTGGGCTCATTCTGCAACTTTTCCCCGATCCATAACAACAAAAGAAACCCAATGGGAAGAAAGACTGACGTACATTTTTAAGCGCACCTTCTCCGTCTAGTACAAAAGCACAACCTAAAACATAGAAAGCTTCTTCTTCTGTTTTTTTTCTTTTAAATCACAGTTACCAAAAAGAACAGTGAATAATTTATTACATACGCTATAATAACATTACGCTAAACAGCTATTCTCTATGAGGTATATCTGAGAAAATTCGGTAAGGGATTGCACGGTCTGCGTTGCCAACATGCCCAGTTCGTAATAAAGCTTTGGAACCATGGAGAGAGAGAGATCAGGGACAGGGGGGAGGAGGAGGAGGAGGAAGAAGAGGAGGAGAGCCTTTGGTATTATTATCAGGAGTCTGTTCTTTGCAGGGCTGCATTGCAAAGCACCACAGTACAAAAGCCCACCAGGTACGATTCGGCGGCCCAGTCGAAGCTGAGGTATTCACAGGAAGAATAAAAAAAAGCACAGAGAGGTCTAGACTGGCAAAATCGTTGCTTTGGTTCAAGCAAGGCACTCGTCCCGTGGTAACATCACTCTTTGCAAGTGAAGCAGGAGTCGGGGGGCCGCGGGGACCCTGCCAGCTCTGGGGACTGTCTGTGTCCGAGGGCACAGGGACATCGGCTCCCTGCGCCCGGAAGGCATCCTGAGAATTATTATAGCTTTGTATTGAGGGAACACAGAGACAGAGAGAAAAGCACACTTGTCAAGTCCTACCATTTCCAACACAGACTTAAACCCCCAAAGAAATGCAACATAAAAGGCAACAGTTAATTAAAGCAGAGCGTTTGTGCTGAGCTGTGGGTAACCTCTGTGAATCCAAGGGCACGGCCCAGCAGATTCCTCAGGGAAAGGCCCGGGCCAGCAGCAGCTGTCCCAGCCTGGGCAGTGCCCAGGGCTGCAGCGGCTCCTCGGAGCACAGGCTCAAACCCGAGTGCCAACGGGCACCGCTAATTCCCTGGCCAAACAAGCAAACAGCTTGGAAGTTAGCACTCAGGAACGTGATGCTAATGGAGCTTAATGTAGCCTCACTTCATTGCTAACTTGAGAAAAGTAATTAATTGATTTTTATCTGAAAACGGCAATTGGAAACAACAACCAAAGGTGAGGAGAGGGAGCAGCTCCTGGATGTGTGTGTGCACCAACCCCTCCCCAGCCCTGGGCTCTGCTCAAGCACGAGAATAATAATAATAATAATAATAATAATAATAATTAGCAATGCTAATTGCTGCTGCAAACACACCCCGTAGCGGCCCAGGCAGGCCTGCAGAGCCTTTCCATGGGGAATCTGCGGATGGACAAAGTGGTGTCACCTCCAGCTCCACACAAGCACTCCCCTGGCAGGACCCGGAGTGGGAACGGCTCCACATCTCCAGGCGGTTCGGGCTGGCAGGAAGGAGAAGGGAACACAGAAAAGGGCATCACCAGAACTGGCAGCTTCCAGGGTAGCGTTTCTTTGGGAATCTGGGCTCTGCTGGACGTTTCTGGGTGTAGGAGAGAACAGTGGGAGTTATCAGAGAGCACAAGCAGAATGCAGACCGCACAGAGAAAGAAATCTTTGGTATCTTTGGTATCATCAACACGATTAAAATTACAAATGGAAAAGTCAGTGAGGTAGCCTCTTTGGTTCTCACTAGAAATAGAAAGTTTTTTTCTAGTTTTTTTTCTCCTTTTTTTCCTTTTTTTTTTTCTTTTTCTTTTTTTTTTTTTTTCCACACACAGAAGTTCATTCTTGGAAGCAGCTAGTTTAAGGGTTTCTCTCTTTTTGCTTGGCATGAATTATTTTCCCCCCAGCTTAAGTTTTAAGAAGCCACAAAGTTCAGGCAAAGTACCCCAGTGTCTTTTTTTTTTTCCCTATTTTTCTGAACACACATTTTTAGGTTGAATATTCATTGCTTGTCCTCAAAGTTCGCTCTGCTGTTCTTACAGGAAATCAGCTGTAGTGCTTTATAGATAACTCTAATTAAAAAATAAAAACTCTACAAGGGCATCCCCGGGTGACAATGAATAAATTAAATAAATAAGTTATATTATGAAGGCTTCATGTGCCATAATAAAAGTATGTCACACTTTCTAATCAGGAGGGAAGAGATTAATTTAAATAATTTAAATGTTGATATTTAAACAATTAAAATTAATTAAAAGAAGGAATTAAAACTAGGCTTATGTTTTATGGAACAAGTTGCTCTTTCCCTGTCTGACAGAACCTGGCTGCTCTACAAGCAATACCAGCTCTGAAGGGTATTTACTAACAGGCTTCGCATCCCCGATGCGCTACAACAGTCCTAGGCATAAATAAGCAAAGTTACTCCCAAATGAACTCACAAATGGCTGAACTAAATAGATACAAACAGCTAACATCAGAGCCTGACCCCCCATCTACATTCAGGCAAAACTCTCACTGAATTCTAAAGCTAAACCGAAACACAGTGGGATTCAGACTGAACAGAGATCTCAGGACCTGCCCTAAGACTAAATTAAATAAATTACATTATTGATAGATAATATATCGGGTTAAAACCCACAGGTGTCTGGAAAAAAATAAAACCATTTTAAACTTTGCCTTCTTAAAAAATTCAAACAATAAAAATTCCCCATAATAAATATAAAGGAGGCCAAGTAGAAAGTTTCCCCACGTCACAAAAATACTTGGCAATTGTGACAAGCGAGGGCAGCACACTTTGCAATCCGAGGTGGCTCCCGAGCCTTGCTGGCCGAGTCCTCCGCAGCTCTTTGGGTTCAGCTGTAGGTAAGAGAGATCCACAGCAAAGCTTTGCAATGGAATCAGTGAGCACATCCTTTGTTCCTGCATGGGACATCCAGCAATATCCACAATTTCTTCAAAGCTGAATTCATCTTGCTGTGCCCAAGGTTGTGACTCCAAGTTCCTGGTCCAGGAGATGCTGGGATACTCTCTGTACACACGAGTCTTTCGCAGCACAATAAATAAAGCAACAAGTTACATGACACAGCTCTAGAGATTCATCAGTACAGGGCCTAGAGGTGGAACACAAGTGCTGGGGTTTGGTGTGGTGCGGGCAGAGCGAGCACAGCCCTGCCCACATGGACCAGTATCTCCACCACAGTCTGCTCCGACGCTCCTCGTCTGAGGGAGCTGCTACATAAAAGCCTACGAGAGTGGACAGTGAAATGGAAGACGTCACACAGGGCCATGAAGAGATGCAGGGATAAAAAATGCAGCAGGATTTTTGGGTGAAAATGGACTGTGACTATTGATAGGTTTGAGGCCCCAGCCCAGAGAAATCAAATCTCGTGCGTGTTGCTACTCTGCAATGCTGCATAACAAACACAATTTGGAGAGAATTTCACTGAGGAGAAATTTGTAAGTACTTCAGTGCCCGATCTAAACTTCCTTTGTTGGGGCTATTGGGTGAGCTCTGAGCAGGAGCAAAAAGCCCAGCTCTTTGCTCCCAGGCTTCACCAGAAGCTGTGGGTAGCTCCCCTCTGCGTCTGGGGAAGGTGGGAGGCAGAGCTGTGGCAATCTGGATGTCCCTCAGGAGAGTGTCCCCCTGAGATGAGTCCCAGAGGATGCCTGGGGCTCATTCCCTGTGGGATACAACGCACTTCCCCACAGGAAGGGGAGGTGAGGAAGGAGCACTGGGGTTTTCACTGATCCTGTGTCATTCCCTGCCACTGCAGATTGCAGGGGGACACTTCCAGCACGAGACAGCTCCCCTGAGGGCAATGCCGAGTTCAAAATGCGCCAGGGGCTGGATTGATGGACACTTAGGTGGGAATGAAAGTGAAACTTGAGCTGGGCCCTGCTCCACAGCCTGCTGGCTCCAAACTCTGCACCCAAATCTCTGGCATTTGTGTTAGGAGCCCTCAGGACACAGCAACACAGATTGGGACCATTTTTAGCAACTTTATTCCATGTCTGGCTACAAGGATTCTCCAAATCTCTTTGGAGTCTGCCAGAGGATCCTTTGATCCCCAGAGCAGGCACATGCTGTCAATTCAGCTGTGAGGATCCTGAATTTGCTTTCCAGAAACTTTTCCTGTCCTGAGCAGATAAGGCTCCTTGATTTCTTTTCTATTTTAAGTACAGTCATTGGAAAGTGACTGCAGCAGTTCTGTGAAGCAATTAAAATGAAGCCCTTGTTTAAAGGCAGAGAGGAACAAGATGTGCTCCGGCTCTGAGGATAAATTTGGACATGTCATGATCTGGATCATCAAGACCTGGATCAAACAACATTACAAGGCTAATAGGTCAGAGGCAACCCCTGAACTGCTGAATCTTGGGTTTGGTTCAGGTGGAGGTTTGGAGCCAGGCTGGGATGCTGCTCAGCACTCACAGTGACAGAGATGGGAACACACATATTGCAAGTTTTATCCCTGGGGAGGAGAAAGAAGGGTGGAGGTCACTCCACTGATGTCACGCGCAGGAGGGTGGCTGTTCACAGCTCCAGACACACAGGAGACCAACGCACAAGTCACAGCCAACCCACAAGTGTTTCCTGGAGGGAGAGATGCTCCAGGGTAGCATCCCAACATCCTGCACTTGGAGTCCATGCAGCTCTCGGAGAGATGCACGTGGGGCAGAAACAGGGGAAACATGAATAAAGAAACCCACCCTTCTGGTTGCACAAAGACTCACGAGCGGTTACCTGTCCAGAGAACAGTGGGACTATGTGCATTAGTCGTGCAAGAGGAGAAACAAACTGAAACACAAGTAGTGAGAATCCTCATCTTTGGTATTGTAGCTGTTGAGGTTTTGGTTGCTCTGTTCCTTGTTCTTTTGAAAAAACTGCATAGGCACAAATTAAAGACAATCTTCAACTTTAAGATGACTTGAGTTGTCAAATGAAGCAGCAATTGTAGTGGCTTTGCTTTGTTCTCATTCTTGTCAACCCTTTCTTTGAGATCTGCTTCCGAAAATGTCCAAGATGTCTGTAGAACACAGTGTGGGACTCGTTTGCTTCCTGACATGCTTCCTTGTTTTTTTTTAATTTTTACTTTATCTTTCAATGGAACAGTTTGTTGCAGAAGAAGTAGGTGCAGAAAACGTTTCTTTGGTTTCGATTAAGTAGTACATAAAAAAGTCTCAAGTGTCTCTGACGGCCGCCCAGGCCGGTCACCAGCCAGCGGCCGCCGCGCCGCCGCCAGGGCAGCTCTGCTGCACAGGGCTGGAGAGAGGCCGTGGAGCGTGCCAGGCTGCCCCAGCGCCAGCCAACCACCCGCACCAGCGACCACAACGAGAAATGGCAAGTTATAAACATCTTTGGCTTGCAGAAATCCTGTCTCTTTGGTGTGCTGTGTTCCTGCCGGCTCGGGGAGCTGGCAGGGAAAAGGAACTTAGGGATGTGATAGAGCTAAACGTGGCACATCTGAAATGGTCAGTGGCATCTGAAGGGCTTGTTTCTGTTTCTTTTCCTGCTTGAAAGTACCATAAAATACTGATAAAATGAACAAAAATACACTGAACGCTGAAAGGTTTCGGTAACAGCCGTTGCTGAGGAGAAACCAGATTCCCAGAAACTAAAAAGGATGCAATAATGTAAATTAATCTAAGTCTTCCAAAGCATTGTGTTTGCTGCATGAACTGTAGCAGTTCCACCGACCTCCTGAGTGTGCATTAGGTACAAACACAGAGCTTGTGAGGAACTGCCAGCTGTGCTTGAGGCTCGTGCCATCTCCGCGGTGTTCCCGGGATGTCAGGCTGCAGCTGGCACAGCCGCCCTGGGCAGCCCAGGGGGACCGTGGCTGTAGCTACTGGCTTTGTGCTTGATACTTTGAGCTCAAGAGAACTGAACTTTTCTGATCCAAGCTGATTAAATTTAACTAAAAAAACAACCAAAAAAACCTTAAATCTGATTGGTGTTTTTTTTTCCCTAAAACACTTAACAAAAAACCATGCCTGAGTTTAAAAACAGGGTCTTGGGTTTTTAGTATCCGACTTTGTGCTCCGTTGTCTCGCGGCCGCAGGGTGGTGTGGCCAGCACACGGCAGGCACCAGGCATGGGCCACGGAAACCTGGGGCTCAGGAGAAACCTGCCTCATGAACAACTCCCCTACGTTTCAGACCTGCTGCGCCTGTCCTGAGCATAGTATCGTGTGGAGAGAGGTTAATGTGGAGCCTTCGCCTGCTAAGACTGATGAGAAGCCGTAGGAATGTCCTGGGGACAGCTGGGCTGGGCTTGGCTGCGGGGGGATTGTGCTTTAGTCTCCAGCGAGGGCCCTGCTGCCAGGCCGCTCTCTCTGCGCCGTGCCCCTCACGCCTTGCTGCAGGTGCTGGGGGCCGAGGAGGAGCCCCCGGAGCTCAGGTCGTCCTGCCACTTCTCCAGGCTGCGCCGGCGGGCGTTCATGAAGAAGTTGCTGACGGTGGTGAGCTCCAGGCCCAGCTGCTGGGAGATGGTGATCTGCATTTCTTTGGAGGGACGCTTGTTCTCCTTGAAGATGGCAAAAAGCGTTCGGCGCTGGAGGTCCGTGAAAACCAGGCGGGATTTCTTCTGGGAGTTGTTCCGCTCTTTGTTGGGCTCTTGCTCTTTGCGTTTGCAGGCTGGGAGGGGGTGGCAGAGACAGAGAGAAAGCGTCAGGGTGGTGCCCACAGACCCCACCAGCCACCCCCATGGCAGGCACTGTCACATGGAGGGGCAAGTGTCACCACCTCAGCCAGCACCACTCTGGCACACGGGACCGGTGCATTGGTGGGCTGCATTGCTGTTATATCCCCAAAACCTCTCAATAGCCAGGAATAACAGCTGTACCTAAGTTCTGTCCCTTTCAACAGCCCAAAGCAAAGCCAGTAGCAGCAATTTTATGTGAGCACCACGGGGAAAACGCACCACGGACTCCTTGGCCTCCCAGGAGGGGGAACAGGCACTGGCTCACCTGGCCCTGCCCTGCTCCTCCGTGATCCTGCAGTGCCACCACCCAGGGCACCGCTCCCAGCGCCTGTTCCCCCTCCTGGGGCATGTCCCGAGGGTGAAACCAGGCAGAAGCACCCATCAGAGCTCAGGTCACACAGGGCAGCAGTGCTGGACCATGGCTGAGCGATGCTAATGGATCCTAAAACCCACTGGTATTAATAGCTGCTCTGTATTTATTAGCAGAGAGAGAACAGCAAGTGCTGAAACCAATACCGCTGCCGGAGCACACCCACACTTAAAAATAGCCTGCCCAGGCCGTCTGCACCGGGCACAGAGAGAAAATCCATATGTTGACATGGTTAGGTAATGTGCTGGGACAAAATGAGCCCAGAGAATTGATAAGCGGGCGGGTTTTAAGCAGCCCTGTTAAATAATTCTGCAGGTCTGGAATGTGAAATGAAGCTGGCCCAAAAGTAAAAGTCAGACTGTGGAAATGTCTGTAATTAACCCAGTCAGGGCTGTACCTGTGTGGAACCTGGCTCAGCCACTGTGGCACTGACTGCCTCCTTCCGTGCAGGGATAGGGCCTCACAGCATTTCTGCAGGAAACTGGACTATTTTCTTGGACTGCCTGACCCTGACCCCTCTCAGCTGCCAAATTCCAGTGGCTGCAGCAGATCAGACCTCAAAATACCTGAAAGCACAAAAGAAGGATGGTCCTGAGAGTTGGGCTGAGCTCCAGACAGGGGCTGTGGTGAACATTCCCAGCACAGCCCTCCCGGAGCAGCGGCACCAGCGCAGGGCTCCGGCTGGGAGCAGCAGGAATGGCAAGGCTCGCCTCTCTGGGGCCATTATCCCAGAGCTGGGCTCTCTGACTGCACCCCTGGCACTGCCTGTCTGAGCTGAAAAAGCAGACCTTAAGCTGGGTTAATCAGCCACAGCTCCAGAACCCACGTGGCGATGTCCCCGGTGCTGGGGACATGATGAGCACCAGCATCTCTGCTGCAGCTTCTAATCGGTTCCGGGACACTGGGACCAGTGGAGTGTTTCCTTCCATCACTAATTTATGTCCTGAGATACTCTGCGTTTTACAGTTATTGGTATCTGATAATAAATAATGCAGAGGTATGTGCTTTTTGATGCATTCAGTAAATACTTTCCTTGAACTGTTGAGTTTGCTCTTGAAAAGGCCCCACAAAGGCAAACGCTGCACCTGACGTGCATCTCTCAGCAGAGAAAAATGGGGTGAGCACTCTAATAAAATCAAGTGATTTTCCGGGAAGAAAGAGAAAGGTTTTAACAGCAGAGGGAAGGGAAGAGACCATCTGGATTCTAAGCACAATTTGATTTATTAGCTGTGGTTAAACCTGAACATACCCCATAAAAGCAAATGGACAACCAGCAAGAACTGAAAACCGTAACTGTGGAAAAAATATACATAAAAATATAAAAGAAAAGATTTTTCTTCTGCATTGGATTAAAGATGCTCTTCAATAGAAACAATAGAGGAATTGCTCAGAACTGGGGTCAGTGGTGTCTCCTGTAGTGTGGACTAAAGTGGTGCCCCACGACTTGAAGGGCATTAAGAGGGAGCAGCGACCTGACACTGCACTGTGACACCCTGAGTATCATCACACTGAATTTCCCTACTAAGAGTTCATTTGTCTGGCTTTCTGCAACAATTACTCTGATTTTCCATTTACTCCCTCACAAGAGGGGAACCTAGCCAGACCAGGCATTCCAAACAGCCAGAAATCCTGTGCCTCTCTGGTTCTGGATGTTTTAACTAACAGCAAAAGTGACTCTGCAGCCACCAAACAAAGAGCAGGTGCTAAGAAGGAGCCAAGCAGAGACCAAATAACCCAGCAGTGTGTCCTCAGTCTCCGTTGTTCTAAGGACAAGCCGTGAATATCGATCCAGCCTGTGTGGTTTGTGTGGGTGCAAAGTCACCCAAACCCAGTTATCTGTCTGATGGAACTAAAACTGCTCCTCTATTCGATTTTGGAGAGACTCAATGTGAGGGAAATGTAATTACTCTGGTAATACTGAGCACAATGAAATGACCATCAAAGCATTTTCTAAAGATTTAAAATGTTTTCCTTTTGCTGTGATTCACTTAAAGCAACCCCTTGTATATCCCTGTTACTACAATCTCTTAAAAACTAGGCCTCAGAAATCAATTTGATTACCTCTCTGAATTAAGTATGCACGAATGAGAGCGATTGAGATCAATACAAATTAGGTTAAGTACTCCGCTGTGTACAAAATCATTATGGAACAAGGAGCAATCAGAATGAAGATGCAAATAATCACATTGTCGGGGTGGACAGCCAGTGCTGCTCATCCCAGCTGCTGCACATACACCAAACTCCTAATGTTGGAAACCCTAGGAATGCCCTCGATGGCATTCAGCCAGAAAAGCAGATTGGATGTGTAGCACAAAGTTAATTCTGTTCTTCCAGAGAAGATCTGCTTGCTCATCCATTGAAATGGTAAGGTGTTCCCTGTTTGGAGATCCAGGGATTCCTGCAATGCTCCGAAAAAGAAGTTCACAGCCAGGAAGGTGTTCTCTTGGTACCCCACCTGAATTTTTCCTCTCAGCACGGAGGAGAAGGTGTGTGGGAAGGTCTCCAAGGAAGACGTCCTCTGCTCTTTTTTCACCTCCTGCAGCCCAGTGCTGCTTGCCAAAGCTTAATGCCTCGGCAAAGGCCCCATGCTCCCATCCCATTATGAGGGGATGAGAACTGCTGGAAAATCACCACTGCTCATAAATATGTTCCCTGCTTACTGAGAGATATTTTGGTCTTGGAGACAATTTGCGTTTTGGGAACCTGCCAGCTTCTATCACTTGTCTAATAATTCTTCTGAGCAGCATTTACCAGTGGTTTGAGTTCCTTTTTTTCACAATGGAGCAGCTTGATTTTATAGCTCAAAACCCCCAAACAACCCCAAAACACTCCAATTTCTTTTTTGATTGCATTTCTCTCTGCCATCAGCGAGTTGTCTGGCTGATGTTATCACCAAACCCATTTGAGATTAGTCTGTTTGGTATGATTTCTGTGTGCAAACCCCTCTATAAATCAGAGAGTCTTTTATGTAAAAGTCTGCAAGATTGATAGAGCTGGGTACAAAATCTTTTACCTTGGAAAAAGAGATGTATTATCTGTCCCGTTGGATATAGTGCTTTCCCTGCATATTCATTGCCCAGGTATGATGGGCTTTTTCCAGAGAAGACAGGAGACAAGATGGGAGCCTCAAATACAAACAGATTGCTATCAGAGGGAAGGGAGTGCTCTTCTTCGCTGTGTCTAGTGGGGATAAGATGAGAAGCAAAGGGTTTAAAAGACAAAAAGTGAGATTAAGGCCAGTCATTAAGGGTTTTTTTGTACCTGTAAGCCCTGGAAGAGACAGCTTAGGTAAAAAATCCCCCTCTGGAGATCCTGAAGAAAGAAAGGGGCAGGCTGTCAGGACAAGTGATGCCTGCGGTCCCTTTCAGCCCTGCTTTCCCTGTGAGATCCATTCTCTGCACACCTGCAGAGCCCGTCTGCACTCTGAAGGCAGCTCCAGGGGAGTGCTCTGATGAGGACTCTGCTGCCTTTAGCCGTGTTGGGTACTGCAGGCAGCTTGTCATCTCCTGTAATGGCTAATTGGAAGGGAAGGAAAGGCTCTTGCAGCTGCTGGATGGCAGCAACACCCAGGATGAGGTTTTTTGAATAACACCAGGGAGGAGCACCAAGGATGAGCACCCGGAGCCACAGGGCACAGCAAAAATGCTCCTAGAGTGTGGGAAGAACTGACACCAGTTACTGGGAAAGAATCCTTTTGGCAAAAATGTTCTCCCCTTTATGCATTCCTCGCCACAAATAAATTGTGGCTATTTTCAGCTGCAGAGGAATACTTGGGTTTGGGATATTTCAGTTCAAACAGTGATGGGCAAGAGATAAGGGGTAAAAAAGAGATGCTGGAGGGAAAAATCTTACAAGGAAATAGTGAAGAACAGCTTCAGAATGAGCAACATATGATGACCAATTAATTGTTTCTTTTAAAAAATAGGGGGTAAAATATAGAAATACATTTAATCCAAAACGTACTCAGAATTGACTTCATCAAATATGAAGAAACTGATAAAACTCGTTTGCTTTGCAAAAACAGGATTCAAATTTCTGTGTGGCAGAAACGCCTTCAGAAACGATGTGGGACAAAGAGCTGGGGCAAGGTATTATTTCAGAAAGTTGGTACATGAGAAATATAATTTATCAGCTGGCACCACAATTTACCGCATGGATTGTTCAAACACAACCACTAATCTATAGCTGAAGAGAGCACCAATATTTCAAGCCACTAAGCACCTTTCAAAGAACCTTTACATACCTGTATATTTAGTTCAATGCTAAGAAATAGCTTTAGAAATACAGATATTATCACGCCTTCATTTTTTTAGCTGGGGATACAGACAACAAAATAGTCTCAAAATCCAGGGAAGAAATATTTGATAGGGCACAAAGAGGCAGAGGGTGGGTGGACAGCTGTCCACAGCCCACTCCTGACTGTGAGAGCCCTCTCCTCGGCCTGGAGCACCCGGGGGTGAGGGGCTCGGCCCTGGGATGTGGCACTGCCACCGCCTTCCTCCGTTCTCTCCGGTCCCTCTCTGTCCCTCTCCGCCGCTCTCCGTGGTACTGACAGGTCTGATCACAGATATCAGATTTGCACCCCACTTGGGATAAATTTCCAGGAGAATGAGGCAGATAGCTGGTGGGTATTGTTTCTTTTTAAAAACCTGAAATAGCTGTGGCTTTTCCACCCCCCCCCGTGCTCAGAGGGATTTAAGCAAGCAAGTAAATGAGGAGAAGGAAGCACTGTGGCAATAGGGCCGCATATTCACACGTGGTAATAAAAGGAAATTAAAATAATCGATTTCCTGAAGGGAAAGGTAATTTGCAAAGGTCTTTCCCGCTCCATGGGGAGTCCACAGCCACTCAGCACCTGAGCTCTCTCCAAACTTTACTCCTGGATGCAGAGGCATTCAGGGGGCCTGGTAAAGCAGAGATCCAGAATTATACAGGCATAACTCTGCATGCAGCTGGGATTCCTGATTTTCTGCTCCACGGGGAACCCCCACCCGGGACCAGTGCTGGGAAGGAAAAGCACCAGCCACATTACTGGAAATGAGCCGGCTCAGGTTCCAGATCAATGAAAACTGGGTCCACGCGTTGATGCTCCTGTTGCCAGCATTAATGCTCTTTTAATCTTCTAAACATTATCTGCATCGATTTCCCTCTCGATACACGTTTGTTTGTGAAGGCGACATCACCGTGTGCTCGGCAAAAATCTCAAACCCCTTCTGTCCCTCTGATGCCCCTGTCAGACCCCGGCACCTTCATTTGGTGGCAAACAGAGAAGAGTGGATGCCCGCGGGTGCTGGAAGGAACAAGAGGAGTTTGCAGTCGGTGCTAGACTGCCCCGCAGCTCGGGAAAGCCCGAGCACTCCCCACGGGGATTCTGGAGACCCCAGGCCGTGGGTGTTTAACCCGCCGCACCTCTGGCTAGAGGTCGGGCATGGATTAAGGCCATCAATCATCCATCCTTGGCTCCTGTTCGCCCTGCTCCGCCGCATCCCAGCCTCTCCCGGCAGCTGCCCCTCGTGCGGGAACTCTCTGTACCCACTTCCTTCCCGCAGAGACCCCCGTGTCCCCTCAGACCCCTCCGGGTGTCCCGGCAGAGCGGGCAGCCCTGGGAAACGATCTGCCCGCGTCGGCATCAATTGAAATAAAAGGGCGGACTCGGTGGCACAAACATCCCAGGATTTTCATCGCTGTCAGAGCAGAGCGCCCCGACCCCTGGTCCCCGCCCCACGCTGCGGTTTGTCCCACGCGTTTCTGCCCGTGCCACAGCCTCCTGTGTCCCTCTACACCCACGTCCACGGCCGCGGGGATTCCGGCAGCGGGAAGGCAGCCGCGGCCGCGCTCCACGGCGGGACCGGCCGGGGGGCCACCTCACGGCAGGGACAGCTCTGGCCGGGTCTGTCCCGCGCATGCCGGGGGTGGGTACCAGGTGTCGGTACGGGGGTGGGTACCGGGGTCGGTACCGGGGGTCGCTGCCCGCCGCCCCCCCGCGGCCCCCGCAGAACAATGGGGGCTGCGGCGCTCCGCGGCCGCGCCAGGGGGCGCCCGCGCGCCCGCCGCGGACAATGCGGCCGGGCCGGGGCCGCGGGGGCCGCGCGGGGTCCGGCCCCCGCCCGCTCCCCCCGGCCCCGCCTGTCCCGGGACGCGGGTCCCCCGCCCGGCCCCCCGGTGCGCCCGGCGGCTCCGGCAGCCGCAGGAGGGACGCTCACGGAGAGCGCCGTGCGGTGCGGAATGCGCACCTTCAGCACCCGGCCCTGGAGAGCAGCCCCGGCCCCGCTCCCCTCCGCCGGCCCCGAGCCCCGCACAGTCCCACCGGACAGAGCCGGGGTGCGCGATGTCGGCGCTGCGGGAGGCGGGGGCCGGCTAGCTCCGCACTGCCCCGCGGATCGGAGAAGCGGCCGGGAACGCGCTGTGCGGAGGACGCACTGCGGGGCCGGCCGGTCGGCGCTGCGCTTCGAGATCCGCGATCCGCTCCCCGCGCGGCACCGGCTTGCACTTACCTGCTAGCCGCAGGGCAGACATCCTCTGGAACTCCGGCTCCTGCAGCCACTTCCACATCCTGCGGAACGTCTCCCGGCCGGACTTGAGTTTACTCCAAGGCTTGGGGTTCCGCAGCAAGTCCGAGAGGGTCCCCTGGGAGCGGCACAGCACTCGTTGGGCGAAGATGGCCTGCGGGATGCTGTAGCGCTTCAGCTCCGCCGTGATCCTTTGTGCCACCTCCTTGGTGTTGATCTCCTCCAGCTGCCCCGCGCCGCTCCCCTGCGGGCCGGCGGCGGGGGGCGGCCGCTCCCGGCCGGCGGGCAGCGCGGGGCCGTGCGGCGGCGGCGGCCCGGGGGGCGCGGGGTGGTGCGCGCCGTTCAGGGGCGGCAGCATGGCCGGGGGCGTCCCCAGCCCCCGGGGCAGGTGCTGCTCTCCCCGCGCCAGCATCGCCGCGTGCGCCTCGAAGTTGGGGCTCAGCATCTTGTCGTGGCCAGGCGGCCCGTAGCCGTGCAGGCCCTGCTGGGATCCAGGGAGCGGGCCCAGCCCGTTGCCCAGCGGCGAGAGGCTCTGCCCCACGGCCGGCACCTCCTTGTAGGGCCCGTAAAGGCTGTTGACGGCCGGCAGCCCGCGCTCGTCCCGCATGAGCGTGAAGCCGCCGCCGGCGCTGCCCGGCAGGCGCTGGTGGTGGTGGTGGTGGTGGTGGGCGTGCGGGTGGGCATGCGGGTGGTGGAACTTGTCGGAGACGGCGGAGATGGGCGGCAGGGGCTGGAGCGGCGTCAGCGTGGTGTAGGTGCCGCTCATGCCCATGCCGGGCGGCGAGGCCTCGCAGGGCACGCTCATGGCGTGGTGCAGCGGGATGGAGAGCTCGGGCCGGTACTCGGCGGCGCCGTCCAGCAGCGAGGCCATGCTGGGCACCATGGTGGGCCGGGCGGCGGGGGGCAGCTCCTGGTGCGGCGGCGGCGGCGGCGGCGGCGGGGGGGGCGGCACCCGGAGCGGCCCCGCGCTGCGGCCGCCGTGGTGAGGGCTGGGGCTGCCCATCATCTCCGGTTCGTGCCCCGCCGCCCCGTGCAGGCTGCCCAGCGGCTCCATCGCCAGCTCGGGGTTCATGGCGCACGCACCCGGTTCCCCGCCGAGGCACCGCCGGCCGCCGCGCCCGCTCCTCATCCGCTCATCGGGGCGGCGGCCGCCGCGGCCCGGGGCCGCCCGCCCCGCGGGCAGCGGCGGCTCAGCCGGGCCCGCCGCGCCGGCCCCGCGCCATGTCCTCGCCTCGCCGCCGCCACCGCCGTCTGCGGGCGGCGGGAGCTGTCCGGGGCCGCCCCGCCCCGGCCGCGCCCGCGGGGCCGAGCTTACGCCGCGGGCGGGCGGGCGTGAGGGCGTGAGGGCGGCGGGAAGGGCGGGAAAGGCGGGCGCGCGGAAAAAGGGCGGGCTGAGGGCCGGGGGGCGTGGCCTCCGTGAGGGGACGTGAGGGGACGTGAGGGGACGTGAGGGGACGGCGGGGCCCTCAAAGATTCCGCCGCCTTTGTGGCGTGCGGGGCCGCCGGGAGCATCCCGGGATCGGCCCGGAGCCGGCCTCGGCAGCGGCCGGGGCTCCTCCCGTGCCGCCGCCACGGAGATCCGCGGTGCTGGCTGTGCGGCGGCCGCAGGGCTCTCCTCTCGGCAGGCGGCTCCGCAACGCCCGGTCCCGCAGCCGGCGGCTCCCGGGGCCCCGCTGCACACAGCCGGTCCTGCTGCCTGCTTGTTCATTGCTGCAAACCGAGGTACAGCGCTTACCTGTGCTGTTGGTTGTTGGTTGCCCTAATGCGGCTCACTGGGGCTCGTTCATGAGGCGTGAGGGATGTTTCTCTTCCGCGGGCGGTGGTGAGTCCCGGGAGCCCGCCATCCGTGCCACCCCGTGCCGGTGCGGCCCGCTCCCCGGGCACACGCGCACCGGCCTCTCCCCTCTCCCCAGGCAAGGGCCGGTTCCCCGGGCCGCCCCTCAGCCCCGGGCCGGCAGGGACAGCGCACGGCTCCGCAGGGCACACGGGTGGGGCTGGCACCGCGCTCAGCGGGCAGGGCAGGGCGGATGGGAGCGGACAGGGACCGCGGGCCGGGAGAGCGGCCTAGGAGAGGCGGGCAGGGCCCCAGTGGGCTCAGGGCCCCAGGGGCAGCAAACCTGGCATGGAGCTGGCAAGTGGCGACTTGCCTGCTGTGGCACAGCCCATGCAGGGCACCCGTGCCAGGGCTCTGGGTCGGGCTGTGTCCGCTGCTGTGTAGTTCACTACTTCTCCCTGCTCCTTTAATCAGTAGCAGTACCAGCAGCCGTGTCCTTGAGTTTTGTGTCATCCTTATCTCGTCCCTGATAACCGTCTCTGTATTTGTGAAAGTCCCACCTCCACTGGGTCTTTCCAGTTACTAAAAGAGGGAAATGGGGAGAAATGTCACCTTTTGCACTCTCGATTATCAGGCCACTCTCCAGTGCACCTGGTATCTCCTTGCAAACAGGTTGTGTATGGCAGCACACAGTTTCCCTACAGATTGGATCCCAATGGATAATGATCCATTTCTTTCCATGTTGCCATCACAGTGTCTCTGGAGCTCACGGTGTTTTCTGAGCTGCTTTTTGGCACTAATCAGGCGGGTATAAAGTGGAGCTCCCCCAGCCCCAGCTACTCCTCCCGCTGCCAGCTTGTGGTGAAGAAGGAAAAAGAAAGGAAGACAGAAAAGAAAGCCCTGGCGTGAGGTGCCTTTGTTCCGGGCAACTTATGCGTGAAATCTTTTTGTCCTTCCTAAAGGAAGGCAAAAGTTGCAGTTGATTTGGGGAGAAAAGAGGCGAGTGCAGTGCTCCTGAGACGGAGGTGCCCCTGTGGGCAGGCGGGAGGAGGGTGGGTGGGCAGACCCTGATGGGAATCTGTGCAGCAGATGTGCTGGTGTCTGTGTCCTCCCTTTTCCTCCCTTTTCCTCTCTTCTTGCATTGCCTTCTCCTTCTCCAACACATTATCAGGCCTTTGACTTTTTCTTTCCAAACCTGCACCTGAGGGCTGCATGCTCTGATGATGTTTTGTTACACACTGTAGTGTCTAATTCTGGTGTCTTTCCAAATTCGCATTAAAATCATCCTGGAAATTGAGGTATAAATATCCATGCATGGTCAGTTGTACCCGAAGGTCCAATCTGATGGGGCTATGACTGCCCTCAGAGGCAGGAGGGTGCTGGGTGTCCTTTGTCACCCGGGCAGGACAAGGTGCAGCTGAGCTGGCAGCTGGGCACGGTGGGCAGGAGCAGTGCCGGGAGCCAGGAGGCGGCTGCTGCTTCCAGCCCAGCGAGCTTGGGCTGCCCAGCGGGACAGCATTCCCTGCCTGCATGGCTGCCTTTGCCAGAGGCTTTCCCCTGCTCTTGGGGGAGGGAGGAGGGGGTTTCTTTGTTAGCTTTCCTTCTCCTTCTGCCTGCAGCGGGGCCTCCCCGCGCCACAGCCAGGTGCTTTTGCTCCCCACAAAGAGGCAGCAGTGGGGTGTCCAGGGATGGCAGGGTGGGACAAACCAGGGGGTTGACTCAGCCTGGCTGAGCTTTCTTGTCCAGTATCCTCCTGGTTTGGGCTGTGACTCTCCTGGGAATAGGAAATTTAATTCCTCTCATCTTTTGTTCTCTGGGGTTCGTCTCTGTAGTGTCCTGCAGCACCCACGCCTGGCACCTGACCCAAATCATGCAGAAAAGGGTGACTCCAGGGTGACACCTCAGTGTCACAGGCACAGGGACTTCTCTAAAGAAGCTGTCACCAGCTGGCCAGGGCCTGCAGATGTAATTTTTACCTGCTTTTAAGCAAACATTGCAAGTGTTTTCTTTGGCATTTGAAACTGCTGTCACAAGCCCGTTCAGAGGGAGCAGCTTCATCCCCTCAGGACACCTTTCCAGGGATGGAGGCAGAGCTGGACATGGGGTGGGGGGTTCAATCCACGCTAGCACCCTCCAGCCCCAGCCCTAATGGCCAGCAGAGCCTTCCTCACATTTACCGGCGCAAGAGGAAGGAAAGGGTTTTTCCTATCCCATCCCCATCCCCAAATTGGGTTACAGGACTATAAATCCCTGCCTCTCTGCCAGGATGGTCTCAGGGATAAATATGTGAGCTGTAGTGGGTATTAGTGGTGGGAAGCACACAGACAACGGATCTGGCATGGCTCTGCTCCTGTGCCTGCCAGCCTGAGGGACTCTATTCTGGGAGTTCATGTGAACTCCTAAAAACACACGGCAGAATTCCTGCCAGGAGCCACTGAGGACACTGCAGTGCTGGAGCAAGCAGCAGGTCACCTGCAACAAGTAACAGCAGTGGGCTGTAAGATGTTCCTGGGGATGTAATTCACTTTAATGAGCAAATACCCTGAGCCAATCTGTGCCCACATTCCACACTTTCCATCTTCATGTATTTCACAGGAGTGCAGAATTTGATCCATCACACCAAGCTTGTTGCACTGACTAATGAAATATAGGGAGCATTAAGCAACACTTTTGGCAACTCCTCTGGTGAAGTTTTCCAGTAAAACCTATCAGTGGCCCTGAGCAGTTCGGGAAATAATAACAAGGAAGAAGCAGAGGCAGTGGAGTTTTACAGACTCCCAGTGCACAAGAAACCATTTTATTTAAAAACAATGCATTCAATATCAGGTTATGGCACATGAGTCAGTGCTGCAGGCACATCACACCACAGGATCACACTGAGAGCTCCCGAGCCTCGATGCTCACGACAGCAACGCAGCACGGTCACGAGAGGAGCCAGGGCACAAAGTGCTGTGCAGGCACGCTCCAGCCCCGGGCTGGGGACACACGCTGCCTGGCCCCAGGCTGGGGACACACACTGCCCAGCCCCAGCCCCCAGGCCAGCTCCTGAGGCTCTCCGTGGTCGTGAGGCTGCAGCAGCTCCGCTTGCAGCGTCCTTCCCACAGCTCATCTGAGAGGTGCCCTGGCCCTTTATGAACATCAGCCATTGAAAAATAAACAATGCTTTTAGTATGGCCCTTACTAATGAAATCTTTATTACAATTATGACATTTTTTCTTTTTTTTAATTTTTTTTTATCGAAAACAACTCCATCAGGCATTGAATTGTAGAGCCATTGAAATAAAGACACATTCATTTACAGAAAACCTGCTTTTTCCTATTTGCCCTGTTTTTGCAGCCTCCATTCACAGTTAGTTCTGTTTCACAAACTCTTGCTTTTTGGCTTAGTCTTACAATTAAACCTGGTAGCCAAATGCCTGTTTTCACATGCCTTGCTACCATTCACTGAGGAGATGCAAGCAACAAAAATAGAGACCCAAGATGTAGAAAAGAAGAGAGGAAACATGTATTCCCAATCCTATGTACACCCCCAGCACCTTGGCACCCATCCTGTTGGCAAAGGGGCTGGAGAGGGGAAGGCAGCCCCCCTGCACCTTTTAAATAACAATTAAATAAATAATAAAGATACTTGCTTATTAATGCAAAGGCATTTCTGCTGGAGAGTGGCAGCCCCAAAGAGCCTCTCCTCCTCAGCCACTGTCTTCTCCATCCCCTGCCATCCTTGCCTCTCCCTCAGACCCCACCTGGCAAAACAAAAGCTGTGCACTTTGAGATGGTTTTCCACCTTGCATGAGCTTGGGCAAAAGAATATTGATACTAAGAAGCAATTTACTTTGGGCTGTGCTGTGCCATCGATCACGGGGCAGAACTCCCATTAAAATCAATGATTCTGAAATGTTCAGTGTGGGTCTGGAGCATCGATGGGGAGTTTTGCTTAAAAATCAATGATGTAATATGGTGCTCTGTCAATAATTTTTCTGTATTCCCATTTCCAAATATTTGCAGTCAGTTTTGTGCTTCCTTCTCTGCATTTGGTGCCTCTTTGTGCTTTTGGAAAGTTCTGGTGGTGCCAGGGCTGTGCCCAGGACTGGCAGGGGGTTGTGCCCCTCTCCAGGACCACGGGAGGTTCCAGAAACTGTATGGCGCATACTGCTCCCTGCTTTCATGCCAATATAATGATAATAGTTCTCATTTCTTTAATTTGCTGATGAGAAATGATGGGTTCCCATGGGAAATTGGTAAAAGGTCTCTTGATAGAAATATCTGGCATTCAGACAAGCCAAGAAGGGTCACTCGGGGTTCGGAGTGGACCAGGACATGCCTGGGCTGCTCAGCTTGGGTGTTGTGCAGGAGATCTCCTTCCTCATCTCCTATGTCTAATCATAGGTAAAGAAGCTAAAAAAAAATAACCTGTGCCATTTTAAATACTGGATTTTGCATCTTCTTTCATGGTGGGGTCATTCTCAAACAGAACGGTAAAAAATTGTTAAATATTTGCCAGCATACTCATAAGAAACCCAGTTATTTCCCAGGCTCCTTTATCCTGAGACATAATGGCCAACATTTCCCAACTATAAGTGACCCTATTATTTGTTCTGTCCCCAAACAGTTGGACATCCTGTGGTGCCAAGGAAGCATCTGCCCTGTCTGCCTTGGAGTGCTGTTGGTGATGGGAAAACGGGGACACTACTCCAGCCATCTGACTGGTGAGTAAGAGACATAAATGGGGAAATTTGGTCATGGCACTTCCTCTTCCCTGCACTCCAGCTCTGCTCATTTCCCTACAAAAACTGCTTTTAAAAATCCCAGCACCTGGCTTCTGTTTCTGCCCATCCTGCCAGTCCTTACCCAAGCAGAGGGATGGGGTTTGGGGCTTTTCTCACCAAATATGTCTCCAGAGAAGCCTAATTCCATGTATTATGGTGGTTTAACTTTAAAATCAAATGACAGAATAGTATCAGATGGACTGGAATGAACATGCCTCTGTCTGTCTAGTCTGGACTAGTATCTGTCCCGAAAGGAATTAAAACATTGAAGTATTCCAAGAGTGCTATAAACACCTAGCTAAGGTATGAGCCACTTTGTGACCTTCTCCTTGTTAGTCTTTAAAAAATGTAAAATTCAGTAAATACGAAAATACCCAAGCGGTGGAAATCAGGATCCACACTGAGGAGCTTGCGTGTGACGATGCACTGTGATTCCCAGTGGCTTCCTCCATCGGCCACGGCAACGCTGCGCTATTGAGAGCAACAGATACAAAAGAAGCAAAACCTTTAAATGTAGCATTTCTAGCTCTAATGGGAAGGAACAATAAAATTATTTAGGGTATTTAGTAGAATGCTAAAATATGAACAGATATTAAAACATACTGAGTGGCTTATCTAGAAATGCAAAACGTTTCAACTTTGCAGCTGCACAAATCGCATCCACAGAACATGATAAAAGCTTCTGCACTGCTAAATATGCTGAAACCCTTGGATGAGCAGTAGCTAAAAAGCATCTTTAAATTATGGAAAAGATTCTAGGGTGGGTTTGTTGCCTTTTTAGAATCCTATCTGAAGAATGTTTAATTTGGTTTTGGGCACTTTTTTAGACAATTGTTTGGCACTTCGAGATTTAGGTTCTTAGGCACAATGCGACAAGGTGAGTTTGGCCAGTCCTTCACCATGCATCCTGTAGAGCAGCTGGAACTCTGCAGGCAGCTGGTGGGACTCCTGCCACTTGGTGGTGAACTTGGTTCCCTTCTTGTCGTAGTAGTGGTACGGGAGGTCCTCCCGCGTGTTGGGGTCGAAGCCGAAGGGCCAGAATCCGTACAGGTGGATCTCGTCACATATGGCCGATGCCAGGGTGTACATGAGGATACCTGTGCTCAGCCGCTTCGGGGACAGGTGCTTGTTCCGCCAGTACCTGGGAACACAAGAACGTGAGTCAGAATCAATCTGCCCAGAAAGAACTGAAGGCTGCTCTGAAGCAACCACAAAACTTCAGTGGCTCTGACAACAAGGGGTCCTGACTAGCCAGACTGTGCCTCCCACATCAGGCATGAGGGAAAAAATAAGTTAAGAGATGTATTTGTACAAAGAGATGTATATGGCCACCTAAATGCAGGGCAAGCCCACCCACCTGTTAACGTGCTGCATGATATTTCCTGGCCAAGCCAGCTGGACCTTTAGCTGCCCTCTGTGCTCAACAAAGAAATCCACCAGTGTTCTCGTGACTGTTGCTGATGTGTGAAAGAAAAAGGCAGGGATCCAAAGAATGGCCCCATCGAGCTTTTTCAAACTCAAAAAGAAGTTGTTGCGATCCTGAATGGTCAAGAGGTTGTTGTAATACTTCTCCAGGATGCTGGGGTTGAAGGTGGTGAGGTTGGTTTTCCTTCCAACATCTTTCTGGAAAGCCTCAGTTGGAGCAAAATTGCACCGAAAGACAAAATCCGATTTATCAATTTCCTGCCCACACTGGCTCCCGGTCAGGATCCCGCTGTTGCCGACCACGGCGCAGATGTTGTAGTGCTTGTTCAGGATGGGAGACACGTCAGGAAGCAGAGACCTGAAGTTGTTGCTGATGGAGAAAACATACTTATGGCTGGAATAATCGTAGTGCATCAGCTGCCCGATCCGAACGCTGCTCTTGGTCAGAGAAAAGTTTTTGATGACGTCAACATGCTGAAGGATTTCTTGCCTAAAACGGGAACAAAATTGCAGAAAACATGAAGTTCTAATTCCCCTTTTTTTTTGTGCAGTGGATTTGTTTTCTGCCTAGACTTATATTTTTCCTTTTTTTAATTTAAAGTGTACTGAAGTAGTTTCCTGAGCAACACAGTGCAATGGCTTTTAAATCAATATAAATAGCTGGGAATGAGGGAGCTGGCTCCTCACCTAGAGCTCCACTTGGATTTACCAGCTGGTCCCTGCAGATGCCAGCTCAGGCTGTGCCTGTGCCTCTTGGAATAGTGTCAGGATTAAAATATGGGATTGCCTGCTTAGGACAAGGGGTGCAGCTCCCATTACACCCCCCACAGTCACCCGGCTGTGGGGTGTGCACTGCACTGCCCTGTCTGGGCTGTGACACAGGGTGAGGACAGCTTTCTGCTGGGGCTGTGTGTGCCTTTCATTCCTGGTGCAGCCACAAGGCATGTGAAACAAGCCCAGGATATCCACTGAATTAACAGGAGACAATATATATATATATATGTTTCATTAACAAGCTTCCAGTCACAAAACCAAGCGGCAGTCGCTGTCTCCATCTATGCAAATATAGTTCCTTAACTCACATTTGGGCAAGCACAGCAGCACTTTTAGGAAGGTTATTAGGGATACTTACAAAGCAAACAAAACCAATCCTGCTTAGGAATTTCCCTTGCAGGGCATAAAATTAGAAACTGAATAGGACTTTATTTACTTATGCTTATGGAAAACAAACAACCATTCCTCCAGCTCGCATCCTCCAATGTCTGAGCATTAATGGAGTCCCACTGGGTGCCCTCATTATGGGTTCTGGCTGATGGACAAGTGCAAAGGCAGTTCCTGAGGCATCAGCTAAAATCAGCAGAGGGGTACACAGGAACAGGCTTATGGAGCTGCTGGTGCCAGGGATGGAGCAATACTGAGGGTGGCCACTGTCCCACAGCCTGGGAGGTCCTGGGGAAAAGAGGGGACTAAGTGCCACCTTCTCTCTGTAGCCCACGGCTCCTGAGGGCAGCGTGTGGCAGCACTGGAAGGGAATTACTTGTCCTGCTGTCCTTGGACAGTGGCCTGAAGGGAGGAGAAAAGCCCAAACCCTGCAGTGAGAGGTGCAGCAGCTCCATCCTGCCTGGCCACAGAGCCAGATTCCTTTTCCCCAGGTGGCACATGTGAGCAGAGCCACGAGGGAGTCATTTGTCAGGACAAAATTACAGTCCAAAATGGCAGTACCTGTCTTAAATGGCTACATGGTTTTATTTTCTTTTATACAAATGCTAAATATATGCAATCAGCAAATAGATGTATGTATAAAGAGTACAAAGCTCTGTGCCTGCCCCTGCAGCTGGAGCAGAGCTGGAGGCAGGAGCAGCACTGCACTTGCTCAGAACTGCCAGCAGCTGGGAAGTTTCTCTGTGGGTCTTTGGCCTCCATGAACACAGCGTTTCATGGCTGTTACAGTCCAAAGTGTTTTTAGTCTTAAACCACAGCTATTTATCCTGGAGTACTGACAATTCCACTTGCACTCCAGGAAACTGGGTCACGTTCTAGTACAATAATGTGTTTTGCAGCCTGGTGTCCTGCTCTGAAATAATCAAGTCTTTCGGGACAGCTGCAACTGTCTGGGGAAAAGCTCAGCCTTTGTCTCTTGCCGCTGGCAAATTCCTCGGAGCTGCTGCATTCCTTAACTGCGGTGGGAAGGGGCACAGCCGGGCCCTGCCCAGGGGCTTGCTCACCTCTGGTGGGCGAAGGCGCTCCGGTTGAAGACCCACTTGGAGGGCTTGTCCTGCAGCTCTTGGCCCAGGGAATTGGTGATGGGGACGAACGAGGGGTCCAGGAACTTCAGTGCAAACTGAGACCTGGAGATGGGCACAGACACCAAAACATGCACACACATGGAGACACACGGAGACCCAGAGACAGCAACTTACACACGTGGAGACATCCATGCACACACATGGAGACACAGAGACAGCAACTTACACACATGGAGACATCCATGCACACACATGGAGACCCAGAGACAGCAACTTACACACATGAAGACATCCATGCACACACATGGAAACACATGGAGACCCAGAGACAGCAACTTACACACATGGAGACATCCATGCACACACATGGAGACACATGGAGACACAGAGACAGCAACTTACACATGTGGAGACATCCATGCACACACATGGAAACACATGGAGACCCAGAGACAGCAACTTACATGGAGACATCCATGCACACACATGGAAACACAGAGACAGCAACTTACACACATGGAGACATCCATGCACACACATGGAAACACATGGAGACACAGAGACAGCAACTTACACACATGAAGACATCCATGCACACACATGGAAACACATGGAGACACAGAGACAGCAACTTACACACATGGAGACATCCGTGCACACACATGGAAACACAGAGACAGCAACTTACACACATGGAGACATCCATGCACACACATGGAGACATCCATGCACACACATGGAGACACAGAGACACCCATGCACACACATGAAGACATCCATGCGCACACATGGAGACACAGAGACACCCACGCACACACATGGAGGCACACGGAGACACCCACAGACAGACATGGGGACACCCGTGCACACACACGGAGACACCCGTGTGCAGACACGGGGACACACGGAGACACCCACCCACACACACATGGAGACACCCACGCAGCACACATGAGGACACCCACGCAGACACAGAGACACCCACGCAAGCACACACCAGCCATGCACGCACAAACCACCCGCAGACAGCCCACGCACCCCACGGCCCCCAGCGCACACGGACCCGCAGCCCGTTACCGGCCGTGCCCGGCCCGCCCCGCGGCCGCCGCCATCAGCACCACGGAGAGCGCCGGGCGCCGCCGCCGGGGCGCGGCCGTGCCGGTGCCGCTGCCGCTGCCGGTGCCGCTGCCGGTGCCCCCCGTCCGCCTCCCCGCGGCCCGGGCCGTGCGGCTGCCGCTCCCCGTCCCCCTCGCCGCCCGGCCGGGCCCGGGCCCACCATGGCGGGCCGCGCCTCACCGGAATCCCGCGTGGAACATGTACATGCGGGGCCCGGCGGCGCCGGCGGCGCGGGGCGCCCCGAAGATGTTGTCCTTCTTGAGCGAGACGTAGCTGATGAGGGACAGGATGAGCAGCGCCACGCTGAGCATGACGAGCCCCAGCACGCTGGCCACCCGCACCATCTTGCAGCTCCGCATGCCGGAGGCGGCCCCGCGGCTGGGCGGGTGCGGGGCGGCCGCGCCGCTACATTGGGGGCGGCGGCGGGGCCGGGGCCGGGCCGGCTCCGCCGCGCTCGCGGGAAGATGGAGGGACGGGGCGGTGAAATGGCAGCCGGGAGCGCCCGCACGGCCCCGCACGGCCCCCCCGCTCCCGGTGTCCGATCGGCCTGGGGCACAGCCCGGCGCCCCGGTGATCCCCGTGTGCCTTCTGACAGGCCCAACGAGCCCCCGCCAAGGCCTTGTGCCACCCCCAGCCCCAGCGTGCTCACCAACAGCGCCAGCTTTCCCCTCTATGTCCCCAGTGTGCCTTCAAACCCCCAGTGCCCCCCAACAGCCCGGTGTTTCCTTCGCAGCCGTTCCCTCCCCTGACATCCTCAGTGTTCTCCCAGCAACCCTAAGGTGCCCAGAACACCCTTCCCACTGCCTTGGGGTGCCCAGTGACCCCCCAAAAGCGCAGACACAGGGAAACCCTACGGAGCCCCCAGACATGCATGGGGGGCCCATGCTGATGGGGACCTGTGCCTCTGCTGGCGGACCCATGTCTGGGTGGGTGCACAGCATCCCCAGCTCCCATTTCCCTAGGTGACATATACAGAACTGTGGGAGCCTGTGCTGGGCAGTGCAGGGTCTGTGCCGGCTCAGAAGACCCCTTGCTCTTTAAAAGCCTGGTGTTTGGAACATGGATCATTAAACTGCCTGCTAAACCACACAGCAAGTCCCATGTGAACTCCAAGAGAGCCTTTTGCACTCCCAGGGATGTCTCTCATGAGCACAACTCCTGCATGCTGCATCACTCTCAGTGTTTCTTCAAACTCCATTTTTCCCCTCACAAAGGCCCCCCCCAGCCCGCTCTGCCTCCAAGCCCCGAGTTCACTGAAGTGCCTCATAAATAATAGATCCTGTCTTTGTAGCCCCGTCCTTGCTCTGGGCTATTTCCTCCTGCTCTCCATGCACGGCTCTCTTTGAAGAGCAGGAACATGAGGAGCTAGTGGGGCTGGGGTTTGCATCAGTGTGGTTCTTCTGCCTGCAGTTGGGAGTTTGGCCAGAGTGCGGCCTGAGGTCTATATCCAACTGCTGCGGGCTGCCTGTGGCTTGGTGGAGGGAGAGAAAAGGCTGGGAGTGCAGGAAATAGCGGTGGTTTGATACAGGACATAGGCATTCCAAGTGGCTGTCACCTGATGTCCATTATTGTCCACCCAGTGCATGGTATCCCAGCTTCAACATGGATAGTGTTGTCCCAGTGAAATCCAAGCCTTCCCAGGATAAACCAACTGCAGACTTTTGCTTTAAATAGTTTAGAAATCAGTTCTGTAACATTTGATATTGTCTTCTCTAGTTTCTGACCTTGAGTCCTGGGGGTAGGAATAAACCCCAGAGTGAGATTGTGCAGCCCTGGTGTCACAGTCCTCTTCACTCTCCTGGCTTTTCTCTTGCAGGGGAGTTCACAGCTGCTGGACTGGGAAAGACCATGCAATTCCAAGGTCCTGCCATGGACACCTTCCACAGGACCAGGTTGCTCCAATCCCCATCCAACATGGCCAACAAGAGAAGCAGCACTACTGTGGTGTCACCAGTTTTGGGGACAGCTCAACTGAAGCAGCCTGGAGCTGGAGCAAGAACATTGATGGCACTCTGGTCCTCTGTTTGGACCCATTTTTCCCCTGATTCTGCCCATGCAAAAGAGATCTGGGAGGACCTTGGGACGGTGTTTAGGTAAGAAATGTTTAAACCCTGCTGTGTGCTGCAACCTCTCCCCTGACCCTCAGTGAGCCCCAGCCCCACCAACAAGTTGCAGTGGAAACAAAGGCAGTTCTTGCTTCAGATTCTTCAGAGATAGCAATATGTCAGGAGCCCCTGGAGAGGCTGAAAGTAAATGAATCAGTGCTAGAAAGTGAAGGATATCATCCGTGCTGAATGGTGAAAAGGAGTCCTGAACAGTATCTTCATTGATTTTCCTGTAATTGACACAGAGCTCGGCTCGCCGGAGGCTGCAGCAGGAGCGGGGAGGCCCAGGTACTGCTCCCGCCTCAATTAGGCAGCTTGGGACTGGGGGCAGCTCCACAGGAGCCAGCGGCTCACAGGGTGCTCTGCAAGCTGCCTTGAGGACGAGGGGCAGCTTGGAAGGACGTGTGCCAGGCTGTCAGCAGCTCCCCACCAGTCCTGGCATAGCCCCAGGTGCATTGAGCCCTCACTGGTGAGAAACACCGGCCCTAAATTCAGGAAAATCCAGCAGTGGCAGTGGCAGGAAATCTGGTTAGCTGAGGTCTGAGGCTCTGCAAGGAGAAATTGCCTTGTGTGTGAAAGCTCTTGGCTGGGCAGTGGGACAGGGCTCGCTCTTTGGGCACCCACGGACACCCTGTCCTGGGGCAGAGTCCCCGGGCAGCAGGGGTGGCACTGCGGGAGGGATGGGTCCCATCCAGCAGAAGCACGGCTGCACCACACAAAAGGAACCAGAAGCATCCATCACTTCACAGCCCAGCGGAGGAGCACCTGTCAGGTAGGGCATGTGCTTAGGAAAGGTTCCCAATTTGGATTTATTCATGCAAAAGGTACATGGTCTTTATAACAGCACAGGAAACTTGTGCTTTGAAGACTTGCCCCCACTGAAATCCACTTTTTCCAGGGCTATCTTTGCTATTTCCCTCCCTCCTTTGAAGCTGGTGTTTGGGGTCTCCAAGCATAAGGGGGTCTCAGTTTGCCTCAAAGTGCTCCAAGTGGTTTTAAAGTCTCTTTTAAAACCAGCTGCTGTCGGTGTGACCGCAGTGGGACCCTGGCAGGGTCCAGATGGGATCCGGGCGGGACCCGGGCGGGACCTGGTCCGCCGGAGCCCCGCGGTTTCCCTGAGTCACTCCCTGCCCGGAGCCCCGCGTTCCTGCTGATGCAGCGCCGGGGTCACTAAATGCTTTGTTGAACGCCTGCCCACGTGTGCCTAAGTGCTTTCAGCCTGGGTGGCTGCTGAATCGGGTTTCCTGGGACAATTATTTTGAACATAAGTACCCAAAGTCTGCTCGAGTCCTTTTCTAAGTGCTTACATTATTTTGTTTTAAAAACCTGGCGTTGCATCCTTATCCCTGTGGTCAGAGCCATCATAGAGATGTACTTATTTTAATTATATTTGGAAAAACGCTTGCTGGGCACAACGGGCACGTCTCTTCTCCTGACTCTAAAACGTGCAGCAATTTTTCTCAGCCTGTGATCTCTCACCCTTCTGGCAGTGCCAGGAGCCTGCCAAGCCCCAGGCATGGGATCACATCCCATCAGGAATCTCTGGGAATTCAGTCCCAAGCCTCAGTGGGAAACAATGGGAATAATCCTGGTGTGCCCATGAGGAGTGATTGGGGTGTGTGTTGCTACCTCCTGCACTCGCTGCTGCTCTTAGTGCAGGACTGGGGTTAGTTAAGCCAGACCTGGCAAGGCTGGCAGCTAAAGCAGGTTCCTGGGGGCCCCCTGGAACAGGGAAATTGCCAGTTCCCCGGTTGTTATTCACTCTTCACCTAGTTAAACCACCAGGAATTTACTAAAGGCTTCAGGATTTAAGCTCATCATTTCTCTTAATAGTTTATTACATTTTAAAACCATCCCGCCACCTGGTTTGTTGTGCTGCATTAATGTGCCAATTGCTTCACCTCCTTCCCAAGGACACTGGAGAGATCCCCGAGTGGGGAGCCTGTTCCAGAGGCTCCTCTGTGTAGTGGACAGAGAAGTGATGAGCCCAGCACGGAGGGTTGGAGGGCACAGGGGGATGCGCAGCACCACGGGGACTCCTGGCACTGCCCTCGCCCTCGCTGCTGCCGTGACCCCCGTGGGCTGGCACGCGGCCGGATCCCTCGGGATGTGTCTGCCTGTCTGGGGCAGCCGGCCTCAGCAAGGACAGCCAGCCCACTGTGGAAAATCCTAATGAAAGAGCTAAAGCTGGGAAGAGTGCGGAGCGATTAGTGGTGTGCATGCAGCTGAGCTTCCTGCAGATTACTTGTCTTTAGGCCTAATCCTCCGCGCTGGAAAAAATCCCAAATCTCTTCGTTTTTTTTTTGTGGAGTGATTATCATAGACTGCGGAATGATTGTGTAAAAATTAATCCTGGGGGATGAGATCAGGTTTGGAGCTGCAGTGTGGTGCTGGCCAGAAGCTGGTAAACAAACCAGGTGGTTCCCTTGTTTTCCCTGCTCCTTATCCAGAGCTCCAGCCGGGTGCAGGAGCAGCGCAGTATGGGGTGGCCAGGAATGCCCACAGGTCCCAAAAGGCTTCCCAGGGCTTCCCTGAGGTGGGAGGGAGACTCTGGAGCGGGCAGGGGGCTTTGGTAGGACAGATGGGGACACAGCAGCAGCGGGACCATGCCAGCACCCCTGGCTCCAGGCGGTCATCCATCCTCAGGGCTCGGGTTCAAGAAGGTGCTTAAGCCCAGCATTAGGAGAGCACGCCATCCCCATCCCGCTGCCAAGTGTGATGGATCTGTAACTATTCTGAAGCCATCCATGAATATTGCATGTGGATCCACTTATTGGAGCCTCCCCTGCATGGCTGCCTGGGCCTGGTTTAATGTTGGGCTGTCAGGAAATGCAAGCCAGGGAGGAATAATTGGGGATCAGCTCTTTCGGTGCCAGCAGGCGAGGGTAGGGGGGGAGAGTCAGGGAGTCAGGGAGCCGGGGGACGCTGCCAAGGACGGGGCTCTGGGCTGATTTAAATCCCTGCCTCAGGTGTTTGATCCCTGGAATTGAACAGCACATGGCTTTGGGGGAGCTGCCTGCTGGCAGAGCCCTGGGCAGGAGCAAAGGGACAGGAACCAGCTGCTCAGCGCTGTCTGGAGCCACTGCAGAGAGAGGTGACAGTGACTTGGAGTCCTGCTTGCAAACTTCTGCGTGTTCTCAAACCCAAAAGCACAGCACCGGGACGTGCTGCTGCGGTGGCAGAGCGCTGCTGGTGTGCACACGGGATGAGCAAGGTCAGAACTGCTCGTGGAACAGCAGCCCGAGAGGGGGCTCTGCAGGGATTCACTCAGTCAGGAGTTGGACATTAAGCCTGGGTTAATTTTATGCATTAATCAACAAGAGAGGGAACGTTTTACTTTTACTGGATGGCCGGCGTCCCTCCCATTTACACCGCACGGCTCCATTGATTTCATTAGGATCTGCCAGGCAGGAATGAGAGCGGAACTTGGCCCCCTTAATTAAGACGACTGTTGCTAAAGGCAGAATGATGGAAAATAATTAACCCTGTAAAAAAGCCACACGATGCTGAGAAGGAGAAATACATAATTTAGGAATCAGGAGGCCATTATGCAATATTAATTGCAGACAGCATGTCTGAACAGCACGACACACGGTGAGTCGTGCTGCTCCTCACAGAGCTGCTGGAGAGGCCAATCTGGCTCTGATGTCCAACCAAGAGCCCCAAAGTTGTATCTCTGGAATAAATGTCCTCCATGTGGGGTCTGGGTCCATTTTGGGGCCTAGGATGTGCTCAGGAGAGCCAGTAGGGAGTTGCTGTCTCCACTCCCAGAGCTCCACAAATACGCTGCTTCTGCTGGTGGAGGCTCAACCAATTTCATTAATTAAAGTTCTAATTGTGCTAAGGGAGCTTTGACCTCCTAGGAGGACCCTTGCCCTTCTTTGCCAAGAAAATTGGATTATTCCTCCTAGTGCTGATTGTGAGAGCCTTCTCTGCTGCTCAAATATTCTCTCTACTTCCTAATCAAATGACTTCAAAAGGCCAAACACAGAACTTTCAACAGCAATAGCAAACACCCCCATTTATTAAAACAGGCACAAGAAACAGCAATTCCATGGGCAATTTCTGGAAAGGCTATAAATGGATGTGAAGGGAAGGTCTGCTTGTCCCTGGTGACACTTTAGGGGTTGGATACTGGGCTGTGAAGCTCCTCTTAACAGAAAAGGAGCCAGAGCAATGCCCTGGAGATCGGGATGTCGGTCACCCCAGGGCTGGGATAACAGCAGGAACAGCTGGATAATTTCAGGATGAGGACGCTGCCACAGCTGCATGGCTTTTATATTTATTTCACTGCAGTGAAACTTCTTTACCCCATTGGTTCCAATATTTCGCTCTCAGAGGCAACTCCATAATCATGGAAGGGAAAGATGGTGGTGAAAAATCAATTTATGTTCATTCCCTATATCATTGTCATGAATGGCAAAGCTGGTAAGAGCCCTCTTGTTTAACTGTTCGTAGGAGAAAATGGTTTTTCAGGGGTCTTGGCTCCCAGTTGCCTCCTGCTCACAGGGAAATGGTGGAGGTTGTGCATAGTGCAGGGGTGCACATAAACCAGGAAGAAAATCCTGTTTGGCTCCAGATTTCACTCTGTTTTGCTAACATACCAGAATATATTTTATTTTAATTTATCTCTTATATCTTGGTATCGTACATTCTTAATTCAACCTTAGGGTTCTCCTTCTTGGTCCCCATTGCAGAACAGGCCTAACAGTGCTCCCATCAGCAGCACAGGTGGCCTCTGCCCTTCAGCCCCCTCTCCTTGCACACTAAATCAAGGAATTATTTCCTAACTGACTGTAATTTTATTTTGTAGCTCTCGCTAATGAGCTCTTTGTGTAATGCATCATAAATTACTTACAGCAAGATTTTTCTTTTACTTAGAATGGGTAAAAAATCGGCGTTGGCTCCAGCCTGTGCCCGCCGTGCCCACACCGTACTGGATTTTTCCAGCCAATGCTCAGCTATGCTCAAGCCCTAATTTTGCAGATAAACAGCTTCTATTTCATTAAATGAGCTCTGCACAGAATGTTTATCTTAGTTATTTCCAGAAAATTAATTCATAGGGCTTAATCTGTTTAGCATCTGATTAATGGGATTTTTAATCACCCATAATAATGATAATAACAGGCTTAAAGTAATAACCCAGGCAAAGGTGTGTATTTGTCTTTGCTCTGCCCGTGGTCCTGACAGCCATCAATGCTGCACAATAACTTCAGATATTTGGCATTGCTACTTTCAGATCTATCGATCAGGTGGGAAAACCAGGCCTATTTTGAATCCATCTCATTTAACAATGTTTGTAAAAGCACCTGTTATCAGAGAGGAGTCTGGGAGGCAGCACTGGCAGCTCCTGGAGCCAAACTGCATCCAAACTGCTCCCTGCTGGGACACAAATGTCATTAAGCGCTGTCTCTGATAATTAAACACCTGCTGCATGACACCTAAAATCAGACTTGTTACCAGACATGGCAAGGGGCACAACAGGGGTGTGTTGGAGTGAGGATTTAGTGGGACAGTGACCATGCTGTGGCAGAGATGTTTGGGTCTGAAGTGTTCCATGGTGGGTGTCTGAATTCTGTTTTTGATCTGAGTGCCACACTGACTGGTTCTGGCTCCGGCAGGTGAGCAGGAGGTCAGGACACAGGCTGCAGCACTTCCCTGGGAGGGATCAATAGCCAGGCAGCCGTGCTCCCGCTCTGAACGGGGAGGAACACGGACAGGCATGTGCTGGGGAAGCACGAGGCATCCTCTGCCTCTCCCCGGGCTCCTTCCCTCTCCCTGGCTGAAATTGGAAAGAAACGGATCGATCTTTGACTCTTTTCGGGGTGAGGGGAAATTGCAGAATGAAGATGACTTGAAAGAATGAGATGGATGGGAGTAACTGGAGCTCATCCTCCACGGGAGGGGAAAATGCAGCACAAATGATGATGTTAGCCATCCATCTGTCGGTCAGGGCCTTTATTCCGAGGTCCATCATGGGAGGACTGGAGCAGGGGACCAGAGTGGGCTCTGCAGGAACCCCCTGTGCAACCATAATAACCCATTGCTCCCAGCTGCCCTGCTGGGGCTCCCAGGGGTCCTGGGAAGGAGAAGGCATCCACACCAGGCTGTGGTGAGAGGCTTGGAGCAACCTGGGCCTCGGAAAGCTGGCCCTGCCCATGGAAGGGGTGGCACTGACCCCTTAAAGATTAGGTTTTAACACCCTTCCAAATCAAACCATTCTGGGATTCTGTGGTTTCCCATGCCTGGGAATCCTCCTCTACACCAGAGGCAAAGCCCTGGGGTATCACCAGGCCCAGAAGTGAGGCAAAATGTGCTTTTTTCCATGAGAATTCCCACAGGTCTGTGAATTCCTAACAGAAGCATTCCCAGCCGTGCCACAGACCATGTCACCATCAGACCGTGTCACTCTCCAGGCTCGGAGCTCTTTGAGGCGGTGCTGGGGCCAGGGGATTCCCTGGGGGAGCAAACACCCGTTCCTAGGCCAGCTCCTGCCACTGCTCCTGGGGCTCCTGAGGAAGGGAGGGATGAGCTCTCCCTGGCACAGCAGTTATAAATTCCCAGCATAGCAGCTTCCAGGCTGATTGCCTTTCCTGACGGAGTCTCTCTGTAAATGAGGCTTTTCACAGATGACAGATAGAGCTGCTCCTGCGGAGCATAAATCCTGGCGGCCCAAAGTGCCGCCACAGCCTGTTTAACAGCCTGCTTCCCCCAGCCCCGAGTTCAGCTCCTGGGGATGACACAGCGCTCCGGTGGCAATTCCTCATCAATTAGCCCTGTCGGCACCGCTGGGCCCCGCTGAGCCGGGCACTGACCCTGCTCCGGAGAAAACTTCCTCGAGGATGGGCTTCCCTTGTCTGCCGGCCTCTCGGGGACATCCTCCTCCCCCTCATCCTCTCTCTCCTTGCAGGCTCTCCCATGTGCCATCTATCCCTGTCCCTGACCTGCAGGAATTGGCACAGGGATGCTCAGGTGCAGGAGCTGGCACAGGGATGCTCAGGTGCAGGAGTTGGCACAGGGATGCTCAGGTGCAGGAGCTGGCACAGGGATGCTCAGCACAGGGATGCTCAGGTGCAGGAGCTGGCACAGGGATGCTCAGCACAGGGATGCTCAGCACAGGGATGCTCAGGTGCAGGAGCTGGCACAGGGATGCTCAGCACAGGGATGCTCAGGTGCAGGAGCTGGCACAGGGATGCTCAGGTGCAGGAGCTGGCACAGGGATGCTCAGCACAGGGATGCTCAGGTGCAGGAGCTGGCACAGGGATGCTCAGCACAGGGATGCTCAGGTGCAGGAGCTGGCACAGGGATGCTCAGGTGCAGGAGCTGGCACAGGGATGCTCAGCACAGGGATGCTCAGGTGCAGGAGCTGGCACAGGGATGCTCAGGTGCAGGAGCTGGCACAGGGATGCTCAGGTGCAGGATCTGGCACAGGGATGCTCAGGTGCAGGAGCTGGCACAGGGATGCTCAGGTGCAGGAGCTGGCACAGGGATGCTCAACACAGGGATGCTCAGGTGCAGGAGCTGGCACAGGGATGCTCAGGTGCAGGAGCTGGCACAGGGATGCTCAGGTGCAGGAGCTGGCACAGGCATGCTCAGCACAGGGATGCTCAGGTGCAGGAGCTGGCACAGGGATGCTCAGGTGCAGGAGCTGGCACAGGGATGCTCAGGTGCAGGAATGCTCAGGTGCAGGAGCTGGCACAGGGATGCTCAGCACAGGGATGCTCAGGTGCAGGAGCTGGCACAGGCATGCTCAGGTGCAGGAGCTGGCACAGGGATGCTCAGGTGCAGGAGCTGGCACAGGGATGCTCAGCACAGGGATGCTCAGGTGCAGGATCTGGCACAGGGATGCTCAGGTGCAGGAGCTGGCACAGGGATGCTCAGGTGCAGGAGCTGGCACAGGGATGCTCAGGTGCAGGAATTGGCACAGGGATGCTCAGCACAGGGATGCTCAGGTGCAGGAACTGGCACAGGGATGCTCAGGTGCAGGAGCTGGCACAGGGATGCTCAGCACAGGAATGCTCAGGTGCAGGAGCTGGCACAGGGATGCTCAGGTGCAGGAGCTGGCACAGGGATGCTCAGCACAGGGATGCTCAGGTGCAGGAGCTGGCACAGGGATGCTCAGGTGCAGGAGCTGGCACAGGCATGCTCAGCACAGGGATGCTCAGGTGCAGGAGCTGGCACAGGGATGCTCAGGTGCAGGAGCTGGCACAGGCATGCTCAGGTGCAGGATCTGGCACAGGGATGCTCAGGTGCAGGAGCTGGCACAGGGATGCTCAGGTGCAGGAGCTGGCACAGGGATGCTCAGCACAGGGATGCTCAGGTGCAGGAGCTGGCACAGGGATGCTCAGCACAGGGATGCTCAGGTGCAGGAGCTGGCACAGGGATGCTCAGGTGCAGGAGCTGGCACAGGCATGCTCAGGTGCAGGAATGCTCCATGCTGTTCCCTGTGCCAGACTTGCAGCAGGGAGCACCAGCAGTGCCAGGGAAGGACACAGGGCCCATCCATGGTGGCATAAAGGTCTCACTTCCTGAGATGGACACAGCTGTGCTGGTTTACTCTGTGCCTGCAGCCTCTTCCCTTAACCACAAATGTGAGCCCAGCTGGAGCCTCTATCACACCAATGCTGATCTGGTATGGCACTGCTGAGGCATCATGTGGAGGAATCGGGTTTGCCAGCCACGCAGGGTACTTCTTCCTGGAGAAACTCAAAGTTTGCAAAGGAACACAAACATTTAGGTGACCCTGTCCCTCTCCCAAGGCAGCTGGTTCCTGTTGGAGAGCCATCGGCATTCCGGCCAAAGCGGGAGCCGCGGCCCAGCGCTCATTACTCTGCTCCCAGATGAACAGTAAGTCTCTGGAACAGTACTTACAGCCTGTAATAATATTACTGCTCGCTCTGCTACATGGTCCCTCAGTCATTTTTTCAATTAAAAAAGGCCCAATGCTCTATTAACCTTTTGCCTGCTCCTCCATCCTTCATCTGCTGGCGGCCAGGATCGCAGCCGTGTGTTAAAGAAGGCATAGATTACTGTAAAGCAGCGCCGAGCCCTCTGTCACGGCCACGATGAAGTGTCATTTGTTCATTTAAAAATATGAGCCAGTTTATCAAATTCTCCACCTCTGAACCAGTGCTGCAATCTCTTTGTTACCCGTGCAGGGATGCCGGCACTCGCAGGGCTCCTGACGCCCCTTCTGCGTGGACGGGTGTGCTCTGCCCCCAAATCCTTCAGCAGCAAGTGCTGGCAGCTCGAGTAATGTTATAAAGCCATACATCTATTTTCCTGGCCCTGGTGCAGGGATGGAGGGGGGAGCTGCTGTTCCTGGCTCTCCCGTGCCTGTGGCAGTGTGTCCCATCCCATCTTGCACCTCTGCACCTGGAAAACTTCATCCCATTCAGCTTCCATGGGGTTTTCCTGGCAGGGTTTACTGACGGACCCTGGGGGTGCACCTGATGTCCCACCACTGCCAAGCATGCTGCCTTTTATTTTATTCCAATTTATTTCTGATTTGCTGCTTTTATTCCTCTCTCAAGGCACCAGCTACTGGCTCTAGCTACAGGGACTTGTTAGACAAGAGCCCCGGATGCTCCAGTCTGATTTCCAGGATCCACAAATAACAGTGTACAACACATTATTTGCTAGAAATTACCTGAAGCTCAGCCCTCCGGAGCTCACTGTGCTGTGCAGAAAAGAGACCCTGTTCCAATCAATATCCTTTCCACGGTCTCTGCCTGTCCACTGGCCATCATTTCACTGGGTTTATTTTGCTTACAGTCCCAGCTGCATCAATATAAGAGCTCCAAGTGGTTTGGAGGTGGGTTTTGAGCTCTAACCCAAGAGCGTGTGCCTGTGCCAGTGGGGAAGGGCTCGCACAGCTTCCCCCCAACTCTTTCCTTATGGAGCAGCCTCGGGTTAAAGCTGCCTTGTTACTCTGTCATTTTTCCTGCAGAAGTTCCCATATCCAGCTACCAGGGCATTTTCCCCTCTCTCCTTGATGAGCTAAACATGTCAGGTTGTTTCAGCTGGTTGCTGTGCAGTGTCTTTTTGGCTGCAGGTAATTTTTATGGCTATTTTCTGCTCTCTCCCTAGTTTCCAGCATCTTTTCGAGCCCTGAGTACCACAACAGGCTGTAGCACTGCAATATCTGGCTACAAGTGCCCCATGCTGAGGCAGGAGCAGCTCCCCTCTGCCTCACCTACATTTACCCAGGGCTTCCATTAGCCCATTTTCCCACAGCAGCTTTTTGGGTATCATGTTCCATTATTTATTTGAGGACAAACACCTAAAAGCTGGATGTTTTTCAGAGCTGTTGCTCCCGGAGTGGTCTCCTGTGTCTCCCAGGACATCGTACGTGACACTGCATCTCCAGCTGCAGCTTTCACTGGTGCTCCCCCAGCTCCTCCAGCCTCCTCCTGCTGCTCTGCCCGCTGCTCCCGTGGTCCCTGCAGCCCTGGAAGTATTCAGGATGCGGTTTGGAGCGATCTGTTCCAGTGGAAGGTGTCCCTGCCCCCGGAACGGCACTCGATTGTCTGTAAGGTCCCTCCCACCCCAAACCACCCCTCCCAGACCTGGGGCTCCTTTCCTGGCTTGTGCCCCATCTCTCTCCCCCCGAGGGTTTATGCGGATTAGCAGCTCCCTTTGCGTTATCCACAAACCTCGCTGATCCCCAAGGACGGCTGTAATGGGATTGTGCCACCTTTTCCAGGCTGGATGTACCTCCCGTCCCTGGGACAGGCTGCTCCCTGTGCCCGCAGGCTCTCCCTCCTTTCCCTTCTTGGCCCCCAGATTTATTATTCTACAGTGATTGTGTTGAATTGCATTTGAAATCAATTAGCACAGGTACTCAGAGATGAATGTTCATGCTCTGAAAAAAGGTGATGAAAACATACCATTTAAATAGAAATCAATTTCCCTTTCATGTATATCTTCCTAGCTGCTGCCCGAAATTAATAGTTTTTAGATATTTGTGGGGGAGAGGAGAGGCTCCCCTCGTAAAGCACTTCCCTCTCCTCCTCCTCCTCCTCCCCGGCTCCCGGGCTCTCCCACGCCGCTTCCCTCTCGGGCAGAGGGGCTGCTGCAGTTGCCTCCTCCCTGCTCATCTTGTCGGGCCATCATTAGCCGCTTCTCCATGGGAAACTCTTGAACTGGAGCACGGATAAACAGCGGGGCCGCAGCGCGGGGACCCCGGGCAGTGCCGGATCTTCATCTCAAGCCCGAGCGCCAATTACTCTCCCGGGGAGAACGGGGATCAAGGGACCGTCCCTGCGGAGCCGGGGCAGCGCTGTTCGCCCCCGGCGCTGCCGAGCCCCAGGCACCCCTCAGCGGGCTGGGTCAGCTCCAACGGGGGACAAAAGCCAGGAGAAATCCCCGGAAACAAAAGCACCTCTTTGTTCAGGGCAGCTCTGGATGTGGAGCCTGCTGAGGGTGCCCCTGCCAGCGCAGCCTGGGCTTGGTGGCTCCACACACCCTTGCCCTTCCAGCTACCCTGGAGCTCTGTCCCACTGAAATGCGATGGCTTTCCCAAAGCCCAAATAGCACACGAGCTAGGTAAAAAGGAGAAAAAGAAAAGGCTTTTTTTTTTTTTTTTTTTGCTAAACTTTATTGGAAATTCGTGACCACAGGATCCTTGCCCCGTGCTCCATAGATCCCCTGAAGGAGGAATTTCCCCTGGGCTAAAGCAGCTCTCAGCAGTCAGGAGATGACCTTTGATAGGGTGCCCTAAAACTGACCTGTCCCCTCATCCCTGTCTCAATGCCAAGGGTCTTCCCAACCCACTTGTCCACAGGGACCAGCACTTTAATGCCGTAATCATTTCATTTATTATCTTCTTTGGGCTACAAAATCTAATCCCCAAATTTAGGCAAGCATCTGTCCTCCTCATTTCCCACAAGGCACCAAATTATCGTTCAGCCCCTCTGCTACGCCCTGATCCCTTCGATCTGGTTTTCTATCAGTGTTATTATTAATCTCCTCCTCCAATCATTTTTCCTCGCCATCTGTTTTCGAGCAGGACTCCCATGTTTAGGGGAGGACCCTGAGCCCTGGGACTCCCCGGCTCTAATCCCTGTTCTGGGACAGAGGCACATCCCCTGACCCCTAAACTGGGCAGTGCCCTTGTGGTTGGGCAGAGATGCCCCAGGGTCCCCTTCCCCTGTGACAGGACCCCCATCCAGCCTCTGGGAGCAGCTCAGGAGTGCTAAAGGCACAGAGGCACATTGCAATCAATGCCCTCATTTACATCTTTCAGTTTTAGACATCTCTGCACTATGCCTATGAATTGTCTAAAAGAAATCAGGTTTTCAGCTCAGCCCCGGTTGCACAGGTCAGGAATAAAACCTGTTCACATCCTCTGTGTTTCTGGTCTCCAGGTATTGATCGCCGTCTCCATTTTCCCCACTCTCGTCTTGATTCCTGCCACTGCCTATTTTTGGTTTATGCTTCCTGCCAGCAGATCCTTCTGGAGCTTTTCTCAGGCTCCTGCTTTGCCTCCCACCGGCACTGCAGCATCTCCAGCCCTCCCCAGGCCCTCCTGGCTGGCTCCCCATGGAGCACAGTTGGGCTTGCATTTGTAGTTACAGCACATGTTCATATTTTAATCCAGACATTTCATTCACCTCCTAACCAACCCTTCTGCGTTGCTAGGATTTGTATCCCCCTCTTATTTTTAGATCTACATATTTACTAAAAGTATATTTTCACCCTTCTCTCGGGCTGGCAATCACTCTGTGTGGGTAGGACTGCAAATCTGAGTTATTAAATCTTCACATATCCAGGACACCATGCTAAATGCTTATTTGGGGTTCTGTTTGCTTGCAGGGTGTAAATAGACTCTGAGGTATCCAAATCCCTGTCCTCCACCCCATCCATTTGTTTTGCCGTGACTGCGATCTCTTTGATTTCCCAATTTTTCCCTCCCTGTGTTATTTGTTACCCGCTCAGACGAATGCAGGCTGGCAGGCTCAGAAATCAATTCAGCGCCGGAGTTTCAGTCTCAGAAGAGCTGTGTGGGGATGGCTGCCACCTTCCCGGGATGGCTGGTGACAGAAGATAAATCGCCGTGGATTTTTTGCCAACGTGCCATATTTCAAACTCATAATCAGTCCAGCATCACCCTCGGCTTCCTTCAGCATCTCCTTCCTACTGCAGGTGATTTATGGCCCCGGGTAGCAACACCAATTGTACATTTCTAATCCTCTCTTGTATAATTTCTCTTTGCTGCATTTCCTTAATTACCCTCTTTCTGACCTTCCTTTTCCTTCCTTACCCCTGCTTACAGCTTGCTCCTGGGCTTCCTTGCCCTCTCTGGACTCCTTCATTTATTTACGGTGTGACCGTGGTTGATGAGCCCCCTCAGCCCTGGTGACACTGGGCTTTTGGGGTGGCGTGTTCCTGAGGCTGGAGCAGGGGTGGATTTGGGCCTGGAAAAGCTCCACAGCAAAGGATGTGGGCAAGCTGAAACCACCCCAACATCCCTTCCCCGTGTGTGAAGGAGTCCTGGTCCCAGCGCTGGCATTTGTCACCTCTGCTGTCACTAATTCCAACAGCAAAAGCCACGGAGACATCCTGGCTGCTCCCTGTGCAGAGGATCTGGGACAAAGCACCCCTCTGGTCCCGGTGCTGCAGGGACACAAATCCATGGCCAGCTGCCAGCTCTGGGACCTTGGAACGAGAAGGGCATGGAGCAATTCTAGAATCTCTACAGGCTGGGAAAGTTCATTGAGGCCAAATGTTCCCCCAGCACTGCCCAGGCCACCACTGAGCCATGTCCCCAAGAGCTTTAAACACACCCCGAAGCTTTAAATCCCTCCAGGGACAGGGATGCCACTCTGGGCAGTGCTGGGGCCCGAGGGCAGAGGGAAAGCACAGCAGTTAACTTTAAGCAATCACTGGAACATCTTCTTCATAATTAATAAATGGGAGATGTTACTGCAGCTAATCAATAAAGTTGTTAGAGGGAATTGATCGCAGGGGGAACTCTTTTTGTGGGTACAATTTTTCACCTCTGTGGAACAAAGGGCTCCCCGGGGTGCTCTCACTGTGATGGGCACAGGGAGCCCGACCCAAAGAGCCAGCGAGGGAGAGACAATTAATTAATAAATTAATTAATTAACACCCTGAGAGCCAGCGGAAGGGCCAGAGAGAACCGCTTCTGTTCCCCCAGGCGCGGAAGGACACCCGGGAACGCTCCTGGGACAGGCCAGCGGCCGGGCAGGGACACCTGCCATGGCTGCCCCGCTGCCAGGGACAAGGCACTGATCAGATCACGGTGAATATTCTGGGCACCAAGCACTGTGTGTGCCCCAGCTGGCTGATGCCACGGCGTGGGGTGAAGCAGGATGTCCCCAGAGCAGCGGCCGGGCTCTGCGGGCAGCCAGCGCGGCCGCTTATTGCTTGTAATTAACTCCAGCCAGCAAATCTCCTCTAAATCAATCACGGCCAGACTAATAAATAAATCTTGGCTCAATCACTACCTGTAGAATGCGTAGACAAGAGTGAGTGTCTCTGATTTACCACTTCCTTGTGCTGGACTGGGGAATCACGGACTGATGGCAGGAGGGACACCAGGATCCGGATGTGATGCATTATTTAAAACTTCAGAGATAATAAAATTCTGGAGGAGACTGGCCCATTAGCTCAGCGTCCCGACTGACGTTTCTCCCACTGTATTAGGCTCTGCGTTAATGATTTTATATTCCCTTCTGACTCCCCACTCATTTTTCTTTGTCTTTTTGTCATTTTAACAGGGCAGTGGGACATGTTCCACGGCGACATCCCAGCGGCCAGAGCCTCTGTGGCCTTCAGAGTGGAGCAGGCACCCGTGGTTTGACTCAGCTCCTGTGGACACTCAGGTACCACCTCAGCATCACACGTGCCTGTGCTAATTCCGGGGCCATGTACCTTAATCTAATGACTAATTCCAGGAATCTGCTACTCCGTAATGGGCTGTGCCCCCCGGGATGTGCCAGGGAGGTTGTGCCGGGTCTGGCGCTGAGACGCCAGCAGGGAGGATCCTGTGAGATGAGAGAGAAGCTGGCTAGAATTCCCTCATTAGCTCATTAACTCACTAATTGTGGGGTATTTGTAAAACCCACAAAATGTCCTAGAAATGGGGTGAGAAGCCCAGTGGTGCCGGGCACTTTCTGCCAGCCAGGGAATGCCACGGCTCAGGTGGCACCGGGCCGAGGGGCAGAGCAGGGGGCAGGATCCCTGGAAGGGACTGTGTCCCCTTCACACAGTGCAGCCTTGACTCATATATTTTTCATCCCAGTTGAGGGTACAGTGTCAGCCGATGACCTTTGTCACACCCCAGTGCTTTCTGGGATGTAAATTAGGGCCTTTTTTTCCCCCCATCTGGACAGATAAGATGGACTCTGACTCGCCCGTCTCGGAAGCCGATATTTATTGTGAGCCCACCGCTCCTCTCAGCAGGTGGACAAAGATAATACTGTCATTATGTGCTCAGAAAATGCTTTGTAAAATTTGGTAAAGTCCGCGAGATAACATCTGCCTCGAGGACCGCTCCGCTGTAAACAGGGCTTGGAAAAATAGCACCCACTGCTTCTCCCCGGGAATATCGATTTTTGGTGTTGGAAAGGGTCAAATTCAAATGGGCGGCACAAAGAGCGGCTGCAGCTCCCGCTTTTCACAAAGAACAAAGTGCTGCGGCGGCGGAGGCAGCGCGGGGCCGGGGCCGGTGCCTTTCCCACGGGAGCGGGCAGCTGCTGCCCGCGGGGACCGGCGTGTCCGGCCACGTCCCGCGGGGAGCCGCGGGCTGGAACCTCGCAGCGATGTGCTGCATCCCATCCCCTGGCACCTCCCCTGGGCACCTCCGCAGCGTCCCAGCACCGCCCCAGCAGGGAACACAACCCAGGCACGCTTCGGGCACCAGGAGCATCCCAGCAGAGGGACTCGGCATTCCCGTTTCCCGGCCTGCAATCCCCAAAGCCCTGCTTGCCCACAGCAGAGGGTCCTGCAGCGCTGACAGCACTGCCAACCGTGCAAATTCAGCAGCCGAGTGAGTTCTTGTCCCTCAGGAATGCCTTGGACACAGCTCCTGCTCTAACGGGAAGCAAAAGCCTCGGCAGCAGAAAAGAAAGTGCAGGAGTGGCACAGGGAAGGAAAGGGTTTTACCCAAAGAGCACGTGGCAGCTCCAAATCCCCTTCATCCCCACGGCATTATTTATTCATATTCCCCTGTGCAGACCGGGGGCTCGGGCAGACACAATCGATCCGAGAGCACAAAAAAGGAACCCCGGGCTGGGAAGGGAGCTTGCACAGCAGGCCCTGAAAGCAGGATGTGGTGTCCAGGGAGCAGCACCTCATGGGCAGGGCAGGGCATCCCCCCCTGGCATTCCAGGCCGTAGGACAGCAGGGCAGGGTGGCACTGTGGCAGCCCCCTAGGAGCCCTCGGCAATTGGGATGTGCCACAGCTCCAGAGGGCACAAGCAAAGAAGAAAAGGAGGTTCAGGAGGGAACTTCTGGCTCCCCACAACTCCCTGACAGCAGGGTGGAGCTGGGTGGGTGTCAGGCTCTGCTCCACGTGCTGCTCCCCAAGGCAAGGACGTGGCTGTGGCTCGTTTGGGCTGCCCTTCCCCGTGGGAACAGGATGGGGAGATGATGCTCTGTGGTTACACACAGGAGGGAGCTCCATCCTGTGAGGGAAAAAGAAACTTGTTTCCCACTCCGTGAAATGTGACTGGAGGCTTTGGAAAAACCAGTGGGCCCCATTTATGGCTTTGGAATGGCAGGAGGGCAGGGCTTTGAGAGCCAAACCGTGCTGGAACGCGTTTGGGGGAGAGCTGTTTGTTCAGCTTTTGTCGTGTGAGAATTAACACACAGCACCCAAACCCCCATTTTCCAGACAAACTGCTCTGTGTGCTGTTTTCCAGGGATGCAGGTGAGTGGCTGGAGCAGACAGGAGGAAGGCAGGGTGACAGTGAGGATTCACTCACTGGGGTGTGCCCCTCCTGAGTGGGCTGTGGCCTTTAGGGCACCTGGGCACAGCAGTGTGTGACAGGGATGGCTTTGATCCCGCTGTGGGTGCACAGCCTGCAGCATCCCAGCAGGTGCTGGGGGCTCTGAGGCCCGGCTGCATCCCTCACTCCCTGCCCACAGCCTGGATGGATGTGGGAACAGCAGCAGCCAAAGTCCATCTTTCACCTCCAAATCCCCAGCACTGCTGCCACAGAGCCTGGAGAGGGGCTTTAAGCCATTTCAAAATCCATCTCCCAGCTCATTATTATGCCGGGCAATTTTTCATTCATCGGGAATCTACGGCAGCATTTTAATGTGAGAAGCTCCCTGCTCTGTTTCTCTTCCCCTGAAGAAAAATAGCTTAATTTCTGCAGTTTGATAGATTTTCCTGAGCCTTCAAAAGGTAGAGAAAGACTCTTGAAAATCGGTCGTTGAACTATCCACAGGCATTTTATAATGGCTGTAAATAGGCCTGGACTGAATAGCTCTCCAGGCATCAGCTTGAATGGTGTCCTTGACACTGTTATTATTATCCCCACGGAGAAAAAAAGGGAAAAAAGAAAGGGAAAGAAAGTCTGGGAGCCTCTCCACACTGCAGTTGGTGTGTCTCTAGGCTGGAAGAGCTAAATCCCTCCTGCTGGATCTACACCCCCAGAGATGCACTGGTTTTCACTTCCCAGAATTGTCATAATTTTCATGGAATTTCCTGCATAAAAAAAAAAAAAATCTATGAATTTGAGAAATTTACAAACTCTGCAGAAAATGAAGTACAAGAAATCTAGGGGAATTTATTTCTGCCTTTTTGCCCCTTTGCCCATCTAATTCTGTGGTTGCTTTCCATCAGGGAATTACTTTTGTAACTTCCAAGCTGCCGTGTCCCACTGCTCTTCGCTGAGGAGCAGCCTCTGACCCCCAGTTTTGGGGATTATTTTCAGGGTGACCATTTACAGCACCCCAGCTCATCACCATCGAACAGCTCGAGAGGTTTCCAAACCCCATTTGGACCCTTCACCACTTCATGTTCCAGCACCTCCACCAAAGCTGTCCTTCTCACCTTAGATCCTGTGGGATTATGTCACCAGAAACACTGCAGAAAAGCTCCAGGTTAATCAGCAAGAACAATTTTCTCAGCTTAAATAGGGTGCTTTCATTTCTTGATTTTTCCAGCCCCCTCACAAAGCAAAAATAGCATGTCCTAGAAATGTCACTGCTGTATGGATTTCTCCATATGGAAAAGGAGCACAGTGATGCCTCCTGGAGCAGCCTCGGAGCCCTCCCCACGCGTGGAGTGATGCTCTGCCAGGGCGTGGGCTGTGCTGGAAGTCACAGAACTTCAGGATGGGTTGGGTTGGAAAGGAGTCCCGGGTGGCTCTGCATCCTCGGGCTGCCCCGGGTCCCTCTGTGATCGGGCTGCCCCGGGTCCCTCTGCATCCCCGGGTCCCCCGGCACGTCCCCAGCAGCTCTCCGAGGCCGGTTCCCCTCCAGCCGCCCTTCCCGGCAGCACGGCACTAATTGCTCGGCTTCGTTCGGCAGCGACAGCCGCGCTCCCTCCGGGGGCTCCTCCGCCGCCTTTCCTGGAAGTGTTTCCTCCTCGGGCCCCAATCCATAATTGATGCCAGGGAGGAACCGGAGCCGGGCTTTGGGGTGGAACGCCGGGCCGCATCCTATGGGATCCCGCCCACGAGATGGTTTTGGGGCCGTGGGACACGGGTGGGGCTCGTTTGGATGGAACCTGCCCCCCGTGAGCTCCCAGGGAGGTGGCTCGGGACGGATTTTCAGCCCTGCCAATGTGAAACCCAAAGTCCCCGACCCAAACTCTACATTTAATGCCCCCAGCCCACCCCGTGGTTACATAATTCCCAGCTCCGGGCTCGGCGCTCGGAGTTTTTAAGCCCCGGGTTAATTGTCTGCCTCCTCCCCGGCAGTGCAGAACAGACAGAACAGGCACGAAATGAATCCCACAAAACCACAGCTGACAGGTTTAAAAATCTATTTTCCTGCAAGGATCTACGGGAAGGACGGGTGATTAATGAAGACTATGAAGAAAAGGTTTTATCCAGCAGATTAATTTCAACGGGTGTTTAAATCCTTAGCAGAGTTGGACAAGATGCTCCGAGGAGCAGCTGGGGGGGCTGCCTGGGCACCTTCCCAGCAGGGCACGGCATCTCTGGATCCCAAAGCTCCAGGTCCCCCCAGCAGGGGCTGCCCGCCCTTGTCTCCCTCAGGCACACCCTGGCTGTGGCTGCTCTGAGCAGCTTGGGGGAAAAATGCAGTGTTTTACCAAAAAAAGGGAGTATCTGTTACCCTCCACGTGTGTTTTCCCCTGCAGAGGCAGCCAAGGAGAGCAGCAGAAGGAACCTGGTGTAGATGGAGGGTGACCATTTCCAGCCTCCATGCTGCAGGAGCAATGCATTATCCAAACCTCCAGTTTGGGAGAAAAAGGTATTTAATCTTTTTGAATCCCTCAGGACTCAGACCTCTGAGCTGGAGCCCACCACCTCCCACATCCCACGGGACAGGACACAGGCACAGAGGGCTGGTTTGCATCCATCCCTTCCCTATATCCCAGGTGGGCTTTGCTGCCAGCTGCCTCTCCAGAGCCATCCTGCCAAGGTCCTGCAGGGTTTGGCTTGGAAAGGACCTTCAAGACCACCCAGTCCCAACCTCCTGCTGGGACACTGGGACAGGCAGGTGTGAAGCTGGAGCTCTCACTGTCTCCCATCTCAGCATCTCTGTAGTTACTCTCACTACAGAGTAACTCCCAGCGACTGCAGAGGGAATGCATAAGCTGTCCCTGACAGGCAGTGTGTAGTTCTGAGCCCACGAGTCCCATTTATCCTCCTTACCAGTTCCCCCATCATGTGTCTGACAGAATTCCCTTAGGGAGCTGCTGTCCTGTGCTGTGTCCCTGCCCTGAGCTTTACGGTCCCTTCCAGCCCAAAGCACTGCAGGACCCCAGGATTCTGTGCTCCAGGAGCAGGTGATGGCTCTGGACAACTGAGACCTGCAGAAAATCGACACTGAAAGGAGCAATCACAGCAGCGTGGCTGCAGCTCTTCCCATTTCCCCTGGCAAACCTTCCCCCGGGACTGTGTGCACCTGACCCTAAACCTTCCCCATTTTCCAAGCCAGTGCACTTGATGGGAACTCATCTCTGCTCTCCCCACGGCTTCCCTGGCATCCCCAGGGTGGGACACGGCCGCTTTCGGCTTGGCTGAACCCCCAAATTCATTTCACAGATTGCATTTGGGCTCTGCTTCCATTTGCTCCCAGACACCTCACCTAGGGAACACTCTGTTCTCCTCAGGAAAACAGGGATTTATTCCCTCAGTGTTCCTGCAGAGAACAGACCTGTGCTGGACACACACCCCGGGAGGTGCCCTCTGGCACCCTGGGGCTGTCCCACTCCCCATCTCTCCCTCCTGCCTCGCCTCCTCCCATGAGGCCACCAGCAGCAGCACCTTTGCTGCTTGCTCCTGGAATAAAGTGCATTTTAACCCATTTTCTGCCTGAACACACTGCTTTATAAAAAAGCCAAAATAAACCTTGCAAGGTGAGCAGATTCCAGCATCACTTCCAAGCTGGAAGCATCGGTTTCCTTTCACGGTGTTGTAAACGGTGAGTAGCTCTGCAGGAGTGAGTAAATGCCTGTTTAAGATTATTTACATCAATAAATAAATATTTACCCCTTTTTAAGCATCTCCAGCCCTTGCAAACAGGTTTCCAATTTACAAAAATCAATTAAAATCTGATATTAGAATGCACCAGCCCACGGTGATGTTCCCGGAGATGTCACTCAGCCTCCATTCCAAGCCCCACATCAGCATTCCAAAAGCTCTGCTGCTGAAAGAGCAGAAAGTTTCACCTTTTAATTTTTCATAGCGGATTAATTTTTAATTTTCAGACATCAGAGAGAGGGGGAAGTTCCCCAGGAGCCTCTCCCGCTTCAAAGCGTGCTCCAGGCAACCGCTGGATCGAGTGTCAATTTATCACACCGGAGGCTCCGATCCAGATTTTTCCTGATTTTTTCTTTTTTTTTTTTTTTTTTGTTCAGACAAAAGTATTAATGCTGGTGAAGTTTTCTAGAAGCTGGGAACAGGCTGGACAGAAGCAAAGCCTCTCTCACAGCCTGCTCAGCTGCCGGTGGAGGAGCAGAAGGGCCTTGGCTGCTCCGTGCAGGGAATTTCTGCTCTGCCCTGTCCTTCCCTGGATCCCACCAGGGCCGAGCACACCCACGCAGTTCCCGAGGGTAACTCCTGACCTGCTCCAGAGCATCCCACGGCACAGGGGCTTCCTCTGCAGGTCAGACCCCAGCCCAGAGGCAGTGCAACACAGCCCCTTTGTTATTCACTGCAGTTAATTCCTCTGGGGAACTCCAGCCTGGCAGAGCCCAGAGCACAGGGAGAGCTCAGAGGGACTGGGGACAAGGCAGGGAACAAGGATCCCTCATATCCCTCCAGCCCAAACCCCTCCAGGACTCCGCTCTCATTCTTAGAGTGGCAGATTCCTGAGGAGTGGGCAAAGCACCACCAGCAGATCACTGACACCCACGCAAAGCAACACGTTTCAGTCCAGTTTTATTCCACAAGCATATTTACACCAGGAATGTCAATCCACGGAGGGCAGGGACGCGTTTGTGGAGAAGCAGACACGGGAACCATCACACGGTGACTTCATCCCCCCTCTCATGCAGGTGTCACTCGAAGCCACGGACACCAAGGCCACACAGCGCCAGGGACACGGAAAGGTGACAGCGGAACAGCGGGATGGGAACAGCCCCTGGCACACACCGACCTCCCAGCAGCTCCTTGGGGTCTGATCCTCCTGCTCTGAATCAGCTGGAGCAGCACAGAGCTATGGGCCTCCTGGGCTGCAAACCCCACCTGGGCACTACACAGGTAACCCAAGCGCAATAACACACACTTATTTTCTCTTTTGGAGCCATGTGAAAAATTAATTCCTCATTCTTGGACTCCAAGTACCATTTCTAGCTTAGAAGGTAGTGGCAGCCTCAGGTCCGAGCTCTGCAGCCAAGGAAAAGCTGCACAAACAGAGATATTGAAATAAAAGGATTTGAGAGATTTTTTTCTCCTTCCCATGAGCAGAAACCAGAAAATTTCACACAAAATATTCCACAGATATGTAAGAAGTAAACACAGTCACAGCGAGTGTCACACAGGGATATTCCTACTGAAGGAAATGTTTCAGTACATCCAGTCAATAATTCATTTTTTTCCATAATTTTGATAATTTTTCCATTCAAAATGGCCCCCTTTGTCCTTTATTTAAATAAATACCTGCACTGGTGGCAAAAACCACCTTTCTATATAAATACTGCTTTTTTCCAAGTCTGCCATTTAACAGGATTTTTAAATTATTTATTTACACGTGGACCATCATTTTTCTTTCCGGCCTGGGCACAGCAGCACTTCCAATCCCCTCAGAAAGGAGCCTTCACCCCTTGGGATCAGCACACAGGCCACAGCCCCGAATTCCAGCCCCATTCCCAGGCAGGTACCCGGCTCCGGGGGCAGCACCCACCAGCATTCCCGGGTCACCAGGAGCAGTCCATGTAAACACGAGTCTTTTTGGTAAACACTGACATTCTGGGAGGCTCCCAAGGGAGAAGGGGTCGGGTGACATCCAGCGCGGATTCGGGATGGCTGCTCCTGATCCCGCTCTGCAGAGAGGCCCTCTTCCTCCTGGAGGCATGGAAAAGTTGTCAGTGCCACAGCCGGGCAGCAAAGATGGGTGTGAGCCCCTCAGATCCCAGCAGGATTCCCTCAGACCCTACTGAGCCCCTCAGATCCCAGCAGGATTCCCTCAGACCCCACTGAGCCCCTCAGACCCTACTGAGCCCCTCAGATCCCAGCAGGATTCCCTCAGACCCCACTGAGCCCCTCAGACCCCGGCAGGATTCCCTCAGACCCTACTGAGCCCCTCAGATCCCAGCGGGATTCCCTCAGACCCTACTGAGCCCCTCAGATCCCAGCAGGATTCCCTCAGACCCTACTGAGCCCCTCAAATCCCAGCAGGATTCCCTCAGACCCTACTGAGCCCCTCAGATCCCAGCAGGATTCCCTCAGACCCTACTGAGCCCCTCAGATCCCAGCAGGATTCCCTCAGACCCTACTGAGCCCCTCAGATCCCAGCAGGATTCCCTCAGACCCCACTGAGCCCCTCAGATCCCGGCAGGATTCCCTCAGACCCTACTGAGCCCCTCAGATCCCAGCAGGATTCCCTCAGACCCTACTGAGCCCCTCAGACCCTACTGAGCCCCTCAGATCCCGGCAGGATTCCCTCAGACCCCACTGAGCCCCTCAGATCCCGGCAGGATTCCCTCAGACCCCACTGAGCCCCTCAGATCCCAGCAGGATTCCCTCAGACCCTACTGAGCCCCTCAGATCCCAGCAGGATTCCCTCAGACCCTACTGAGCCCCTCAGATCCTGGCGGGATTCCCTCAGACCCTACTGAGCCCCTCAGACCCTACTGAGCCCCTCAGACCCTACTGAGCCCCTCAAATCCTATCAGGATTCCCTCAGACCCTACTGAGCCCCTCAGATCCTACTGAGCCCCTCAAATCCCAGCAGGATTCCCCCAGACCCTACTGAGCCCCTCAGATTCCAGCAGGATTCCCTCAGACCCTACTGAGCCCCTCAAATCCTGGCAGGATTCCCCCAGTTCTGAGTTCTTAGTGGAGCCCCTCAGACCCCACAGAGCCCCCGGGCTGCCCCGTTGCGGCCCCGGTGCCCGTCTCACCTAGACCATGAAGCGGTGCTCCTTTCCATCGTGGGCCATGAGGATGATGTTGCGGTTGGAGGTCCAGATGAGCCGGGCCAGCCGGAGCGCGTTGTGGGATCCGGGCGACGCCGGCTGCACGGGTGGCACCTGGTAGGTCTTGACGCAGCGCAGTTGGGGCGCGGAGTTGAGCATGCCGATGCTCCCCAGGAGAGACGTGTTCATCTGTGGGGACAGCCCGGCTGAGCGGCACGGCGCCCACACCCCACACCCCACACCCCACATCTCGCCGGGAGCAGGGGGAGGTCTGATCAGGGGTGGGAAGGGACCTCAGAGCTCACCCAGCCCCACCCATCCACCCCAGGAGGTTCTCCGAGCCCTGTCTAACCTGGCCTTGTGTCTGCTGGGCACTGCTGGTGCCAGCTCCAAACCCTGAACACTGAGATTCCCCAAGCCAGCCCCTCAGGCCATGGCACGGATTTCTGTCCCCTGGCCAGCCCGGGGTGTTCCACTGCTGCTGCCGTGTCCTGAACCCGAGCAGTCCCTCGTCCCCATCAGCAGAGCGGTGTCAGGGGTGTAAATCACGGCAGCGTGCGAGCCCCGCTGACATTTTCACAATTTAAATCATCTTGAGTAATAACCCTTTTAGGATGACTAATGCTCCTGATTTTCCTGCATTAATAATTGTGCCAAACGGGACACGGAAGGGAAAAATCACCAGCGCACGAGGTCACATCTGGCTTGGAAGGGATTGCAAGGATCAGCTCGTTGCAGGGTCACCTTCCACGGGTCCAGGCTGTGACCTTCCCTGCCCTGGGATGTTCCCTGCTGGAGCTGGGACCCCACGGGGAGTTTGCTGGTGGCACGGGGCGGGCTGGGGACATCCTCACCTGCCAGAAGCAGAGGTGGCTGTCGGCGTTGGAGTACGTGGCCAGGTAGCGGCCGTCGGGGGCGAACGCCACGGCGGTGATGGGTCCTTTGTGGCCGTGGATGGTCTGGGAACAGGGCACACAACAGTCATGTGGGACACCCCGGAGCTGGCAGCCCCAAAACCAGAGCCCCCGATGGAAATGCTCCTCAGGGAGCTCCTCTCCCACTGTGATACCCCAAAAAAAGCCAAGGCTGTGTTAAACCCAAGATGCCACTGGCAAAACCCCATTAGCAGGGCTCCCATGCCCACCCCTGCTCAGTGCGTGCCCCTGCAATGTATTAAGAACCCATTAAGATATTAATTTATTCCTGGTGGCAAAGGTGAGTGAGCCCCAAATCTCTCTCTTTAATGGGATCCCCACAGTTAATTAGCTGATCCCACTCTAGCACTTAACAAGCACAGAACACTTGTCAATAAAATATGTTTTGGTGAGACAAAGGTAGGAATCAATAGGAGCAGCACACTTGTTGCTCTTTTTTACTCCTGGAATAGGTTCCAAGAAGTACAAATCCTTCAGGGAATCCGGCTGCTTTGTTATTTAAAGGAAGTGCTCTCTAATTGATGCTAATCCTTTCCAGCCAGGATTTTTGTGGTGTTTTCCAGGAGGAAATGAAGCAAAGGCAGTGCATTCCAGCACCCCAATTCCAAGGGCAGAGCTTGGGAAAGTCTGCCCTGAAATGCACTTTTCCAGGGAAGGTGATGTATTGTTTGTGTGAATAAACGCAGTGCAATGCACCTTTTAAACTGGTAATGCCCCCCTGGAGACACCCACTAATTCCTGACCCTTTGTTATCAGCGTTTATCGCTGGGAATTCCAGGGGTTCCTTGGAATTCCAGGGGTTCCTTGGAATTCCAGGGGTTCCTGGCACAGCAGGGCACTGCTGGACTGGAGAGCAGCAGAAAAGGCCCTTGGCCAACATATTTGAGGTTATACTCAGGAATTCCCTTTTCTCTGGAATTTTGGGAACAGGTTTCCCTGGCAATGCAGCGTGGATTGCAGGATAAACACCTTTAAAGCACAGCAGCTTTTACTCTGTAATTAATTAAGCCAAGCCACGATTCATTCCAAATGGAATATTAAATCTTTTTCTGCCTTCCACATAAATCAAATTTTGCCAAGGCACCCAGGACTGAAATAAAATCATCCCTGCACAATCCAATTAATGCTCGGATTGCTGGGATTTTAATTCTGGAAGGACTCAGGACCAAACATTATTGATTCCAGCCCAGGCATAAAAGTAGTTTTTGCTTTGAAAAAAACCCAAAATAACTTACGTTTCTCTTTAATCTTCCAGTGCAAATGACCCAGGTTTTAGGTACAAAAATTACATGTATTTCTGAAATGCAGTTCTAAATATTTATGATGAATCCCAAGATTTAATCAATAAAAATGGAATATTTCAGAATTTCTCCTTATAGACCCAAACATGGTCATAAAGGAAAAGAAGATAATTAAAGAACATGTATGAGGAATTAATTGGGGGATCTTGGGTCAGACTCTGGTACTCAGCAAGAATTTACCTGGGAAAATATGAGTATTTTCCCATTGTCCCAAAATCAACTATCAGGTATCCTAAAATTCAGTTACCTGCAATCTCTCCAGTCTGATTTTAGTGTTTAATTTGATATAAAATAGCATTTATACCGTCAGTATTTTCCTGTGTCAATGCACCTTTAAGTGCAGGATTTTTGGCTGTGTGTTATTAATTAGGAATCTTACGTGAAATATCAATAATTTGGTTGGAATTTAATATTATTTTAGTGTTTAATTGGGCAAACAGAGCTTGTGCTCAACGATACCTTAATCCTGTGGCTCAATCCTTTTAATATTGTTATAGATTAATTATAGTTGTAATTATGAATCCAAGGGGTTTCTTTTGGGCTAAAAGATGCCGTTGGTGTTTAATCCCGTGTGCTTGGCTGGGGGGTTTCAGGCTGGGCAAACAAAGGGCACATTTGCTGCTCTCAGAACTGGCTTCCAATTCCCTGTGAAGCATCAATTATCTTTATCAAATCCCAGATCTCATCTCAGCCCCTGATCAAGATGGAGCCAGAGCTGGGAAAAAGCCGGGCAGGAGGGAAGGGAGGGATCAATAATCATCATCAATAGTCATCATCGGGTTGTGCTGCAGCTCGGGGTGCCGGGGAAGGTGCTGGTGGAAACTCCAGCTGCTTTTTGGGAACCTGCCCACAGAGGCACCGCTGCTCCAGCTGGGGAAGCACTGCATGGATCCCACAGCAAATATTACAGCTCCTTACTGCCAAAATTATACTGGGGTTCAGCTAGTTTGGGAGGAATCCTGAGCTGCAGAATGGAATTCCTGTTATCTCTGTGGGGGAACGGGTGAGGGGGAGCATGGAGGGGGAAAGAGTGAGGGGGAACATGGAGGGGCAGTGTGTGAGGGGGAATATGGAAGGGGAATATGGAGCAGGAATGTGTGAGGGGGAATATGGAAGGGGAATATGGAGCAGGAATGTGTGAGGGGGAATATGGAAGGGGAATATGGAGGGGCAGTGTGTGAGGGGGAATATGGAGCAGGAATGTGTGAGGGGGAATATGGAGGGGCAGTGTGTGAGGGGGAATATGGAGCAGGAATGAGTGAGGGGGAACATGGAGGGCCAGTGTGTGAGGAGGAATATGGAAGGGGAATATGGAGCAGGAATGTGTGAGGGGGAACATGGAGGGGCAATGTGTGAGGAGGAATATAGAGGGGTAATATGGAGCAGGAATGAGTGAGGGGGAATATGGAGGGGCAGTGTGTGAGGGGGAATATGGAAGGGGAATATGGAGCGGGAATGAGTGAGGGGGAATATGGAGGGGCAGTGTGTGAAGGGGAATATGGAGCAGGAATGAGCGAGGGGGAGTATGGAGGGGCAGTGTGTGAGGAGGAATATGGAAGGGGAATATGGAGCAGGAATGAGTGAGGGGGAATATGGGGCAGGAATGAGTGAGGGGGAACATGGAGGGGC